CAAGAGGAATGTTCAGCAACGGAAGGGCACGATTTGGATTTTGCTGAAATGATAGGAACTCAGAGCATAACTTCAATAAATCCAGTCATGAATATAATGGGGTCTACAAATGAAGGAAAATACCTATAATACATGTTATACGTCATTATTTTTAGATGTAGCATCTCAGAAAATTGCTTCTTTTCAGGCGTGACATCTCTAAAAATTGTCGAATATGATGAATCAAAACTGTAACATGTCGAAACATTTTCTTGAAAAATTGGAAAAAAATATTCCAAAATACCTATTATAACTAAAAATTTCCCATGTAATCTTATGATATGATTTGAACTAAATATACTTTTGGCAATGAATGAGGTTCACCACGGAAAAATTCATCATCATAAAGAAGTGAAAATGTTCAAAGTCAATTTTCTTAAAACTAAGAATTTTGAATTATCACACTATTGTTCTCAACGTGCGATATATGGAATTTGAGGGTAGTTGAGTGATGATTCTATTTAATGAATGAAAAAATTAGCTCCCTAATAAGTGATGAGTAAATAAACTAGAAAATGACTATGAGTGTGGGCGAATGAGTTATCGAATGAAATAAAAATATGTACATGTTGATGAAGCGAACGAAACAGTAAGTAAGCAAGCCAACGAAATAATACCTGATTAGGGTCCCTTGATGCAAACTGACGTATTTGTCATCTAACAGGGTACGGACAGATCATAGCTCCTTTCTCTTTTGATCATCTAGTGCCTTTGGTTTTGTGTATTGGCGTCCCTGACATGCTATTGCTGTCACGTCACATTCATAGGCGTTAAAAGAGATCTTACAAAATTTCAATTTCATACTTGATCTTGATACATTATTCAATTCTGTTCTGGAAGGATGGTAAAATGTGCTGCGTTAGGCTGTATCAATCAGTTGGATGGCAAATTCGAATTTGTCAGCTTTCTATCAAATGCAAATAAACTTAGAAAATGGAAAGTGAAGTGACCGAATGGGAAAAATTGGTAAATACATTACCAAAATATTCGAGGTGAAACTAATAAAAAATCACATATTATACTTTCTCATTGTGCCTATAATTATCTACTCCACAAGTTTTTGAATGCATTCTAGTAGGAACAGTTTCGATTAAAACGGAGGATTACAAGAAAAGGCATATGCCCTACCATTTGAAAAATTATACCTACATTCAGGAAATATTTGGTGTTCGTGAAAAACTGCAAAAATGATTCCCAACATGAATATATACAGCACACAAGACATATGAGCACATTAGTTTGAATACCTACATAACATTTTTCACCATTTCTCAACCATAAGGCTTAGTCTGAAGTCAAAATTAATTTATTGATAGGTACTGCCTACTGCCTAAGAACAGTCCCATTTGGAAAAACGTATCAACTTTGAGAAAAATTTGCTCACTGCCTCACAAAGATTATGCTGGAGTTGAAAAATCAAAAACTCGAAAATTATCATCATCATTTAGATATAATATGTAGAGTTGAATGAGAAATTACATGTGGAAATTACGTATGATACGCCAATGACCTCAATATAACCTAAAAAACAACAATTGACAGATATCTAGTGTTTATCCCCAGTAATGAATGAAGATGGAACTATAGGTCAGTTCGGAAATCACGGTGTCAGGCAAGATGGTGTAGTGTTGTTTGGTGTAGTGTGAAAGTCATGTGATTTTGGTGTCATTTGCTCATAGCACTGCACGGAAAATAAACGAACGCTGGCGTCATGATGCGCGTCTGATAGACAACAACAACAACGAACATCGGATGTCAAATTATTTTATAAATATGGTATAATAGTATATTATGTAACAAGTGTTACAAACGTCCTTTTAGTAACGAGTATTTTAAGCACGAGCGGAGCAGAGCGGAGCGAGTGTTTAATAAACGAGTGTCTAGAAGAGTTTATAAACGCGTTACATACTATGATTTTTCTACGAACTCCGAAAATTACATTATCATACCTGCAATTCCAGCTAACCTACAAAATAATTCGAATGGAATGGGAATTGAGAACATAATACATGCAACTGCATGCAACCAGCGAGACACGTATAAGTAATATTGGTTGTAGATGTGTCCAGTCCATTGCATACTAACCTTTGTTTCACGTTTATTGTCATGCTTAGAGCAGAATTAATAAATTGTTCTCATAGATGGATGCTTCATTTTTTCACTTCTTGGAGATATGCAAGTACCAGAACATTCTCTTCGATTTCACTTTCGTCTACTTTTCGCATATATTTTTAATGAAGAATTCTGATACAAACGAATATTGTTTGAATAATTCTGATACTAAATTTGAAAATAACAGTTGACAGTTAATACAATTGACAGGCCAGACATGTCTCAAATTGCTGCAGCTGTGTTTAATGAACTGCGTTGCCATGGTAATGTGTTTAAGAAATCGTGTTGCTATGGTAACGTGTTTAATATTTTGAATAAATCACAGATCGACAATCCGTGATTAATCGATCATTTAGCGTGGTACATATCCGTACGCTAAATGCCATTTTAGTTATGTGAGTAGAAAAATACATATCCACTGTCTTGCTGAATTCACCAACTGATGGATCTTCATCAAATGATGGATTGTTCAACGAAACACATACGAGTATTATTCAGATTTTCAATACACGGCATACACACAAAGTATGTAAAAAGCTTCGAGAATTGAAAGTTTCAGGTGATGTATATTGTATAGTGATGTAAATCACCTTGACCTTATACGATATCTACTACCATTGTGAATAAAATTATGTTGTACCTTAAATCATTTGCTTTATTTTCATCTAAGTTGAATAACAATCTACAGAAAAACAATTAGCTGTTCACTGAGCAAGATAATGAATTTTCCACATTCAAATAGTTATGATAACTGGGAAATAGCATTCATCATCTTCATTTCTGGTTCTCCTCTGTAGCTTTTATAAAGGAATAATGCATATTTTTAGTATATTCACAGGAAATGATAATGTGCACTTTGATAATTATTATTTGGATTGAACTTCAAATAACTCTTGTCCATTAAATTTGGGGTTAAAATTTTTGGTTTTCCAATATCCACAGAAAAAAACTGAGGAGTGAAAAGTGTGAACACTAACCGCAACTATCTTTCTATTGAGAACGGTGAATAGTGCACCCTTCACTTACACCTAATTATTTAACGAACGGAACGGTGAACACTGTGTCAAAAGTGTAGACACTTTTCCATTTCCGAACTCAGCTTATATAACTGGTTCACAAACACTTTAGAGTGAGAGGAGACGAGGATCTGTCCGTACCCTGTTAAGATGACAAATGCGTCAATTTACATCAAGGGACACTATGGGCTGCGTGCAAGAAATGTCAGATTACCGTCCCTGGAGACTTGTTTACCAGGGATTGAAATAGTTTTTCACAATTATTTTGGCATACGATTTGTATTTTTCGGCTATTCATTAATTCGCGCATGTCATCAGATTGTGCTGTTGTACAATGCACAAAGACTGCAGTGGAAGACGAAGGAATCCGGTTGGTACATTATGATTTGAAAGTAAGTACCTACTATAATCACTCACATATACCGGGTGACACAGGGTATCGGGCCACCCCTGTAACTTCTGCTTTCGTCATCGGATTTTTCTGAAATTTGGTACAGTTATATAAGCAATTATTTCGGATTTGATCACATTACAATCCAATATGGCGGACTTCCGGTATTTCTGGAAATGCCAGCAACTCTGTTTTTTCAAATGAAACACCCTGTATATTTTTACATATTCAAGTTCAACAGGTCGAAACAAGTACAATCTTTATTTCAAATGTCATTTTTTCGAAAGAAATTAAATTAAAATTGTTTTTTCATTTCACCTCGTGGATAAATGAGATGTGGTCAAGACTATTCACAATGAGTCACACATAACAGAAGAACATAATTTTTTCTGAAAAATTATTTTTTGTGTCACTTATCCAGGAATCAATTCAGCCACGTCACTTTTTGATCAAAAATTATTTTTTTTCAAATGGAACCCCTATGGGCCCCCTAACCGTCTCTCTAGAACATACATTAAGGAACAAAATGACATATCATTTTTGTTTTTCGGTGCAGTAACAAATTGTATACATTCAGAAATCAACAACTAGTTTATGAATTTCCTTGCAGTTAGAATAATTTTTCAACTAGGTAGGCTGTGGAATAAATGACATTTGACATCAAGATTGCACTTGTTTTGACCTGTTGAACTTGAATATGTAAAAATATACAGGATGTTCCATTTGAAAAAACAAAATTGCTAGCATTTCCAGAAAAACCGGAAGTCCGCCATATTGGATTGTAATGTGATCAAATCCGAAATAGTTGCTTATATAACTGTACCGAATTTCAGAAAAATCCGTTGACGCATGCAGAAGGTACAGGGGTGGCCCGATACCCTGTGTCACCCGGTATAGTTTTCAATTATGAAATTTAGTAATTTCTCTGATTTCTCATCGGAAATCCTTCGGCAATAGGAGCTAAAAGAAATACTCATGAAATTTCTGAAATAATGCAAGAAGATTGGATTCATGCAATCAAACGGGAGGACTGGTCTGACATGCTGACAAAATATGATCGTGTGTTTTGTAGACATTTTCAATTTATTAGCAGTATTAGCTTGTATTGCAGAAGTGGCAGAAGGAATTTTAATAAGGAATGACAACATTTCATAATGAAAACTATGTGAGATTACTATTCACCTGAAAAATCATATTCCTTCGTCTCTCGCTGCATTTTTTGTGCATTGTACAACAGCACAATGCGAAGGCATGCTTGAATTAATGAATGGTGCAAAAAACACGAATCGTATGCCAAAATATTGTGAAAAACTATTTCAATCCTATGATTCCTCTATAAACAAATAAAAAAAGTGAGGTTGTGTTTCAATAATTCACAGAAGAGTGGGGTTGTGTTCCAATATTTTACCTCCAGGGTCGGTAATCGTGCACGCGACCTATACCTGATGAGCTTGTTCATGTCCTCTTTGCGAGTACAAGTGAAAGCCAGCCGATCTCTGACAGGGATGACGTTCTCGATGTACTTGGCGTGCCTAGTTTCGAGCACGTTGACCTCCAGCATGATGGGCTCGTAGATCTCCCCTTGAAAAAGGTGTTTGTTGTTCCTGAGCCAATGGACGGCCGTGTGGGCATCGGCACTGAACGTGCGCAGGTGCTGCAGTCTCGCCTGTTAGAACACCGGCATACATTACCATAGTCCACTCCTCAGTCTATAGATAGCCCCATATACAGGCTGATTTTAAATGAGTGCATATATTCAAGACATATATATGAGAGAGTCTAACAAAAATTACTAAAATATTTGATTTTTCCTAAGTCTTCACATTAACGAGAAATTTCATTTTGAAAATTGAACATAAAATGCTTCGAAATTCGAGTACGCCACTGGGAAGCAAGTGAAATCTGCGGAATCCCAGGGAATCCCCAATTCGTCATTCACTAACGTCAAAACAAGACAGTGATGCCAGATTGTTTCAGAGACGAATATCCTGATAAAAATTTGTCACAGAATGAATATGAATTGGAATAGGTTATGGAAACTAATAGAGGTGAATGTAATATGTACAGGAGCCTTATATTTTTTAAAGTTTACTGAGAGAACTGTGGGGTGATTATCTCCATGGATCACGAGAGACGGAGAGAAACATGAGGGGAATGATAGAACGTCCCCCTTCCTTCAATTCGAAAATAAGGCCCCAGCGGGTAGATAGAAAATTAGCAGACAATAAATAGGTACACAACATACACAAAGTTGAAAATCGACTCACCTAGTAGATTTTCTCATACCTGCTCGAACAGCAAAACTCCCGAGAGCAAACAAATACTAATATCGAGTCCATTCCAGACTAATATCGTCCTGTGTTCTTGTTGGTTCATATTCGCACTTAAACCATCGAAAACGACTCGACGACGACATATCCTTCCTGGCAATCTCACATTGAAAATCACCATCACGACCATATCACGATTATCACGACACAAGACACAACATCCAATTATTTTATTTTTTATTTTACGTTTACAATTATTTTACAATCCAGCAACCACACAAACAAAACTATTATCATATGATCTGTCATGTCAACATCATTTCTCAGAACAGTAGTATCTGTGACATAGATTTCCTCTTTGCTGTGACCTTTGACAGTACTAACTAGGATTGTTCGCGTTCAGAAAATAAACAATCCGAAACCGTCAGAAGCATGCACAAGTACACAGAACCCAAAAAAATCATACAGTTCTGTGAAACTGCGCATGCTTCTGACCGTTTCGGACGCAAGAATTCAGATGACCATGAATTACAAATAGGTGATTTCTAAGGATCAATCAGAAACAGCAAAGTAGCGCCTGCGTGGTTGCGATTCATCCTGATTGGACACAGCTGAGTGGATTTGTGAGATTAGTGTATAGTGAGGAAGTATCATTTCATTGAATTAAACTAATAGATGTTTTTTCCATATTAGTTTTTTATGAAAATGGTAGTTTCATTTAAAGATATGATCCTTCCTCACTAATACATTAATCTCAATCACCTGTGCCAAATCAGGATGAATCGCAACCACGCAGGCACAACTTTGCTGTTTCTGATTGGTCCGTAAAAGTCGCCTATTAGTAATTCATGGTCATCTGAATTCTTGCTGGTAGAACACCATAAGAACAATCAAAACAAAGATCCTTTCTTGACAGTTTGTTGTTCTGAGAATGTATGTTATTTTGGAAAACGTCAAAACGTGATACTAGTAAATGTAAAGTTTTGTTTCTGACAATTTGCTTGGAATGTGACGATGCATTCCTCAAACATTGAGCTGAATGATATGGTTCTTATGTCGGGTCGTTATTGTGCGGGGCCCATGAGACTCCTCGAAGGACACGAAATTGTAGCGATGCAAGGAGGTGGAAGGGTCTAAAGGATTTTTCAGTAAAAGAACTTCCAACCGTGAGGTGTTAAGTTATACGCTATTCGAGTTTATGTGTAGAAATCTTGGGTGAGTCCATTTTAAAGTTTTTGTATTATCTTTCTGAAATTCAAGACCAGGGTTAACTTCTTCCCCATGTACATTTTCTCGATTATACATTTTATTTAATATCTCCTAATTTTCATGTAGAGTGGCAACGTCGCTTCGTTCATCACGGTCGACTGCGGATCGCAAACGATAGTTGTGACAGAAGTAGAAATCTGGGCGGAAAAAGGGTATTTTGCCCCAAATCTATTTTGATCCTAATAATATTTTTAATAGTGCTATTCGGTAGTATACCTCAAGCTTTCTTAGTGTTTAAAATATATGCACTAATTTCAAAATCAGCCTGTATAATATCGTAATATGAGTGTTTACGATATTCGTATCGTAAATATCTATTACCTGTTTGACGTTTTCCAATCTGGCAGACTCGTTTTCCAAGGCGTGCATCCTCAGGGTCTCGTCTTGCTTGTGCTGTTGCAATTCCTCCTTCTTGTCTTGCAACGATTTGTGGTGCATGGACAGTTTGTTCAGTTCGGAGGAGAGGGCCTGCTTTTTCTGTGCACCTCGAATGGAAACGACAGTCGTTTCATATGCAGTCGATGTGTTTGTAGGTGAGGCACGGAATTTTTCAACCCCGACACTCTACGGTGTTATACAGGGTGGTATCGAAATAAATAGAATATATTTAATCCCTGAGAGTATGTTGCATAACTCATATATCGCACGATATTTAGCACAACGTCACGTAGCGAGTTATGTACAGTGTGTCCAGTTTTCGATGCTTTTGCATGATATCTCAGTTATCTGTGGAGATAGAACCTTGCGGTTTTCGCGGTCCTGTGCCACTTTCTTGTGAAACTCAAGATGGCCTAATCAGATTTTGCAGGACTGTTTCCGTTTATGAGATACAGGGCGATTTCGAAAATTTATACTCTTTGGTCCCCCTCGATATCTACGAAGTTTTATCAGCGAAAATGTCAAATTGAAATCTTAACCCATAGAGAATTTTATGCAAAATCCAGTGGCGCAAAAAAATTTTTTTTCGGGGTGTGGTTTTGAAGATACGACTCAAACTTATGATTTTTTGAATTGAACACTGTATTTCATAAGCTCATTAAATTCCTTATTTTTTTCCCTTCGAAATGATATATGATGTATGAATATTACATTTTCAAAAATGTTCAAAAATCACTAAAACATTGAATTTTAATAGTGGGCTATGGGTTTTTCGAGGGATTTTCATATAAAGAAATTTACAATTGAAGGAATATTTCCTTTGATTGTTCCATGAAGGGGGAAATAACAATTTCAGCACTAAATAACTTGCAATACACAAGACTTAGATACCTGATATCCGAAATAGTATATTATGTAACAAGTGTTATCAACGTCCTTTTAGTAACGAGTGTTTAATAAACAAGTGTCTAGAAGAGTTTATAAACGCGTTACATACTATGATTTTTCTACGAACTCCGAAAATTACATTAACATACCTGCAATTCCTGCTAACCTACAAAATAATTCGAATGGAATGGGAATTGAGAACATAATACATGCAACTGCATGCAACCAGCGAGACACGTATAAGTGATATTGGTTGTAGATGTGTCCAGTCCAATTGCTTGATAACCTTTGTTTCACGTTTGGCTCAAGTTTCGTTTAGCTGAAATCAGTTATGGAAAAACTGTTGCCATGGCGACGATCGTCATGGTAACGAGTAAACAAAAATCATATTCCCGTGGTGAGGAAATGCGTGGTTGCCAAATTGTATCGGGTTTAGTATAGCTGAAATCAGTTATGGAAAAACTGTTGCCATGGCAACGATCGTCATGGTAACGAGTAAACAAAAATCCTATTCCCGTGGTGGGGAAATGCGTGGTTGCCAAGTTGTATCGGAGAAATATTGCTTCATTCATCAATTTCAAGAACACTCTTCAATGTAACTATCCTTCGCGTGCCGAGCTATTCGACAAAATCAAAAAGAAACAGAGCCATTTTGGAATATTCACATTTCCATTTGCCTTCATTTAGATTCACTCATACCTTTCTTCACGCGCACATTTGATTCAGCAACAGTCTTCAAACATACACGAACGATGCCTTGCTACCAAATCTGAACGATGTTGTAAAAAAAAAGTTTTTCAAGAAGAAGGTTGATTTAAGTCGAGTCAGGTTAGATTGTTTGGAAAAAGTAGTGTCCTATTTAATGCAGTCTTCAAACACACACGAACGATGCCTTGCTACCAAATCTGATCGATGTTGAAAAGTATATTTTTCCTAAGAAGGTTCATTTAAGCCGAGTTAGGTTAGATTGTTTTGAAAAAGTAGTATCCTTCCTTATGCGCTATTTGTTCCGCAATATTTTGTCGCTCGCTATTTTGTCTAGCTCTGTTCAATAACAAAGCCTATTTTTTCCTGACGTTATTTCCATATATGATTGTCAGAGAAGTAGTAATTTGGGAATTAATCAACGACGAACAGTCTTCAAGAAATTGATAAGAAGGGTATTCATTCGAATCAAGTAATTGTTTCAATACTAGCAAGAACTTTTGTGAAACAAAATTTGAGGATCGGAGATTGCGCTGATTTTTCCATTTATTGATCAAGAAATGTCACAAGAGTGTCAGTTCAAAATGTCTTCGTTCGGCGAACTTACTCTTCCGAGAAATCAGAAAAAGTTATGAATTTGCTCTGAGTCAATGTTTGGTGCCAGCAAAACCTTATTGCAAGTCCAAATTTGAGGGACACAAATATACGGGAATATGATTTTTGTTGACTCGTTACAATAGCAATAGTTTTTCCATAACTGATTTCAGTCAAGCTAGACCCGATATAACTTGGCAACCACGCATTTCCTCACCACAGGAATCGGGTTTTTGTTTACTCCTTACCATGGCGATCGTTCCCATGGCAACAGTTTTTTCATAACTGATTTCAGCTATACTAAACCCGATACAACTTGGCAACCATGCATTTCCCCCCCACGGGATTTTGTTTTGTTTTTACCTGTTACCATGACAATGGTTGCCATAGCAACAAATTTTACATAACTGATTTCAGCTAAACGAAACTTGAACCTCACGTTTATTGTCATACTTAGCGCAGAATAAATAAATTGTTCTCAAAGATGGATGTTTCATTTTTACACTTCTTGGAGATATGCAAGTACCAGAACATTCCCTTCGAGTTCACTCTCATCTACTCTTCACATATATTTTTAATGAAGAATTCTGATACAAACGAATATTGTTTGAATAATTCTGATACAAAATTCGAAAATAACAGTTGACAGTTAATACAATTGACAGGCCAGACATGTCTCAAATTACTGAAGCTGTGTTTAATAAACTGCGTTGCCATGGTAATGTGTTTAAGAAATCGTGTTGCCATGGTAACGTGTTTAATATTTTGAATAAATCACAGATCGCCAATCCGTGATTAATCGATCATTCAGCGTGGTACATATCCGTACGCTAAATGCCATTTTAGTTATGTTAGTAGAAAAATATGTCTTGTTGAATGGTTCTGGAAATCTTGGTTTTTAGAGAATTCAGTGAAATGATTCTTAGCATACAGAATACATTTCTTCGCACCAGAAGTCTACCACTGCTTTGCCTTTCGTGTTAAAGGCATAATACAGGTTATACAGTGTGACTCACTTATAACTGGAACATCACTATGAAATTACAGTTTTCAACAGAATCTATTATTTTTTGTTCTAGCAGAAATAGCTCGAGAATAGTATCTTTAGGTCTACGTTCACACAAAATTGCAGAATATAATTTCAATTTCAAAGTTATACCATGTTTTTTTTAAACTTCTTTAGGCGCGTTCGGCAAGTTTGTTTGGCGAAGAAAAACATTGGATTTCGCGTCATTGCCACGTCACCGAAATATTAACTGAATAGCAAAAATTCTGAAGGGAATCTCCCATGCACTATTTTGTAATTATGATCAGATTCTATCCAGAATAATTAGTATATATGGCGGTTTTCGGGGTCGGAGATTATGATTACTTCGTGAAAATTAGGATATTCAAGATGGCGGATCCAATATGGCGGACGACTTCTGTAATTATTATCCGATTCTATTCGAAATTGGCATCCGGGAGTTTTCGGGGTTGGAGATTATGATTGTTTCATCAAAATTTGGAAATTCAAGATGGCGGATCCAATATGGCGGACGACTTTTGTAATTATTATTCGACTCCATTCAAAATTGGCATCTGAGAGTTATCGGGGTCGGAGATTATGATTATTTCATCAAAATATGGAAATTCAAAATGGCGGAACCAATATGGCGAACGAGTTTTGTAATTATGATCCGATTCTATGCAAAATTGGTGTCTGGGGATTTGCGGGGTCGGAGATTATGTTTCTTTCATCAGAAATTGAAAATTCAAAATGGCGGACGAGTTTTGTAACTATAATCGGATTCCATTCAAAATAATTAGTATATGGCGGTTTACGGGGTCGGAGATTATGATTACTTTGTGAAAGTTGGGATATTTAAGATTGCGGATCCAATATGCCGGACGACTTTTGTAATAATTATTATCGAAATTGGCATCTGGGGGTTTTCGGAGTTGGATATAATGATTATTACGGCAAAATTTGAAAATTCAAGAATGGCGGTATTTATTATCCGATTCTATTCAAAATTGGTATCTGGGGGTTTTCGGGGTCGGAGATTATGTTTCTTTCGTCAAAAATTGAAAACTCAAAATGGCGGACGAGTCTTGCAATTATGATCCGATTCTATTCAAAATTGGTATCAGGAAGTTTTCGGGGTCGGAGATTTTGATTCTTTCATCGAAATTTGAAAATTCAAGATGGCATAACCAATATGGCGGACGAGTTTTGTAATTATGATCCGACTCTATTTAAAATTGGTACCTGCGGGGGTTTCTGAGGTCGGAGATTATGATTCTTTCGTCAAAATTTTGAAATTTAAGATGACGGAACCAATATGGCGTACGAGTTTTGTGATTATGATCCGATAGTATTCAAAATTGGTATCTAGGGGTTTTGGGGGTCGGAGATTATAATTTTCTCGACAAAATTTGGAAATTCAAGATGGCGGAAGTTTTCTAATTAAAATCAGATTCTATTCGAGATTGGTATCTGGGGGTTTTGAGGTAGGAGATTATGATTCTTTTCAAGATAATGGAACCAATATGGCGGACAAGTTTTTTAAATATGATCTGATTCTATTCAGAATTAATATCTTGGGGATTCCGGGGTAGGAGATAATGATTCGTTCGTCAGCATTTGGAAATTCAAGATGGCGGAACCGATACAACGGACGAGTTTTGTAATTATGATGCTATTCTATCCAAAACTTGTATCTGTGGGGGTTTTTGGGGTCGGAGATTAAGTTTCCATAGTCAAGATTGGAAAACTCAAGATTGCAGATCCAATATGGCGGACGAGTTTTATAAGTATATCCGGATTCGAAGATTATAAATCATCCGTCAAAATTGGGATATGCAGGCGAGTTAGAATGATGTAGAAAAATAATAATCTAATAGCTGGACAATACAATTCACAAGTTACTTAGTTTTCATTTGTATTGGCAGTTGCCAAAGACTGCCCCGCCCTTTTTTATGTTGAAAATTCCAAAATATTATTAGCGTTTTTTTTTCAAGAAAACCACTCCTTTAATTAGGTTGATCATGAAATTTCATTCAACAATTTTTATTGGCAAGAAAGTTTAACATCATTAATTTTCGTTTATATTATTTTTTATGAACATTTCAGACATTTCAATGTTTGTGATTTTTGGAAGACATTCAAATCTATAGCACAAATAATTATTCTCTGGAATAGATTCACTTTACTTATTCCAAAAGGGTACCTCATTCCACCTACTATTCTATATAGATGTTTTAATGTTGTGTTATGCATTAGAATGCTTACCAGAAACTTTAATGATTCACAAATTTGTCATAAAAAAGGGTATCTAATGAAAATTCATGTTATAACTTTTTTACCAATTAAATTTTTTTTCCAGTGGAATTGAATTTTCTTGAACAAAATTGCTTATATTTTGCAATTTTCAACATGAATGAGAAAATTTGATTCATGTTGTAGCATTCCTGTAAATGTGGATCTCCTAGTAGATCTTGTGATATTATTTCTGCTAAAATAAAAAAAATATATTTGGTTGAAAACAGTATGTTTTATAAGGTTTATTAAGTGGGCCACACTGTAAGTAAACATAAAGTTTAAGTCAAATATCGGCAAACAATCCAGTTTTCACACAGGAATCATTCTATACAACTCATTACCAAGTCAATTGAGGAATATACAGGAAGCAACTAGATTCAAAATTAACTTAACTTGAAAAAATATCTGCTTCAGAGACTTTAATAATTCCATTTCTTATTTGAATACCTACTTATGAAAGACAAGGTTGATATTGCATGATTATTTGCATTTTTTTTTTACTTGTTATATCTTATTATAATTTCATAATTGTATGTATAACATTATGTATATTGTTTATGTATCCCTATTATAAACAACTATGTTTCTTGGGGTAATAAAGACAATCAATCAATCAATCAAATTTTTATGTTATTATCATTTCATCAAATTTCATTCTGAAACCTGTTATCAGATGTAATGCTTAACTTTAACAAGGAATTCCAGCAGATTGAATGAATTGTCAAGTTCTTTTTGTTTCATTTCAAGCTTGAAGGCTAGAACTCCAGCAAAATTTGAAAAAAAATCCAAGAGCTTTGTAGTAATTCCAGCTGTTTTTGAACCAGAATTCCACCCTTTGAGTTAAAAACATAATATAGGTCTAGATGGAGGTAAACATATAGTAAGGAAATAATTATGCAATATCAACATTAAATAAGTTTGTTAACTTACTATCATTGGTTTTGGCAAACATTTCAGCCTGTAACCTTTTCATCTCCTCTAGCTTGTTATTTGCAGTTTCAATTTCACTATCCCACTGTTCAATTTCAGCCAGTCTGGAATTCATAGCATCATTAATCTTTCTTATAGACTCTTTAAGTGCATCTACTCTTTCAACATTATTGTTTATACTGGATTCAGTGTTCCTTATAACCTGCACAACTTTCGTATTATTCTCTTGAAACTCTGTTATGCCCTTTTTCTTCCTCACAATCCCTTGCTCTTTGGGCTTCAAGGCATTCTTGAATTGCTCATAAATCTCCTGAGCCTTATTCCTATCTTTCTTGATGTCAGTAAGCTGAACTCTTATAGCTTCATATAAAGTCCAAGCTATCTTTCTCTCTATGTGCTGAATGTTTTCACTGTATTTTTTCTTTTTGTTGAAGCTTTGGACTCTACCTTCTAGCCTATTGTTGAGGTCATGCGCCTCTTGAAGCCTTTTTTGCTGGGTTTCTAATGAGCCCAGCATTTGCTTGTGCTGCTCTCTGTTTCTGATCAAGGAATCTTGTTTTTCAATCAGATCGAATCTACAAAGTGCTCTTTGTGTTTCTCTCAACAGGTCTTGCTTATTCAACTTAGCAAAATCTTGCACCCTATCCTGTGGTAAAAACTGGCATAAATTGTTCACTTGGATATTGAACTTCTTTATATACTCCAGCATATCTTCTAGCTTCACTTTCCTGTTATTCAGCTTCCATGTACTCCTTTCATGAGTATCAAATTCTCTAGTAACTTTGAGATACTGATCATCTTGGTCTTCTTGCAGAAAAATGTTTATTGTTGAACTTTCACAGTTGTGTTTGACGTATTCAGAGACTCTGGTGCCTCTGCCAACCACTTTTGGATTGCCCCCCAGGCCTAGGATAATTGCTGCCACCACTGTGGATTTGCCAGTGCCATTAGGGCCGATTATCATGTTCAAATTCGGGCCTGGATATAGTTCGACATGGGAGTAGGTGACGAAGTTCCTTACCTCTATTTTTCGAATCGATCCTGGCCGATACATCTTTGTAGTTTCGTTGGATAAGGAAAAGTTTCAAACTAATCTCATGTGAGATTGCATCATCAAGATCAATGTAAGGGTAATAGTTTCTCTGTTTGCCCTATCAAAACTCGAAATATTATCAACAAACACTAATTAGTAATTACTACTAGAAAAAGTTGTTGCAAATTCGAAGTCAAAATGTTTCCAAACACTCAAAAGTTTGAGGTTAGGCTTCCCGCCACAAAACCACGAACAGTGTTGCCAAAAGAAGAAAAGCTAATTGTACTGAAATCACTATTGAATTGTACTAAAACCAAGTGAAATGTACCAGACATGATATACACTCCCCGACAATAAATTCCGGACAGTGAAATTTTTAGCAAATTTGTTCGCCCTGTAACTTTCGCAATCCTCTTCTGATTTCGATGAAATTTCAACCAAAGCGTAGAATTATGTTTCGCAAAATCAGCCTGATAGTTTGTTCCGAAAAACATCTATTGTCGTAATCATTATACAGGGAAAAACAAAAGTAATTTTTTTACCCACAACTTCTTAACGCCCTGTGGCAAAAGTAAGCAATCAAAATCAGTTTCATTATGTTCAGTATTGATAAGTGTGTGATTCCATCTTAACAAAATGGTTCATAAATCACGTCGATATCTTTCCTTGAAGAGAAGATGCAAGTGTTTCAAGAAAATATGGCATTTTTTATATTTATCAACAATTATTCAGAACTTACAAAAACATTAACAACTTGGAGTGAAAAACAAACAACTAAAAATCAATATCGCGTATTGCCACCGCGTTTTATTTCTTAGTACTTCTTCTATGCGACGAGGCATACTCTCAATGTAGTTGTCGATGGCCTCTTGTGGAATACTTTCATTATTTTAGGAGGGCTGTCCGCAAATCCGGTAATGTTTCTTGGCGATTGCGAACACGTCTACCCAGCATATATATCCCAAACGTGCTCAATAGCATTCAGGTCGGGACTACGCGGGGGCCACTCTAAACGCCGAATATTTACCTCGTCCAAGTATTCTGTCACGATTCGCCGATGAGGCCTGGCATTATCTTGCATTAAAATAAAGTTTTGCCCAACAAAGCCGGCAAAGGGTACCACATATGTTCAGCTAAACATTGTCGGATGTAACGATCAGCAGTTAAAGAACCATTTTCTATGAGCACCAGGTTCGTACGAGCATTTAATGATACTCCTCCCCATACCATGATACTACCGCCTCCAAATGGCGTCCTTGGAGATATGCAACACTGAGCAAGTCGTTTACCCGGCCTCCTCCAGACACGTTCACGTCCGTCAGGGGAGCATACACAAAAACGCGATTCATCCGTGAATAACACATTCGTCCAGTCTTGGGCTCTCCAGCAGCTATGTTCACGAGCAAAATTAAAACGCCCTGTGCGATGTGCAGGAAGTAACAGAGGACATGCAGCGGGTCTTCTGGACATTAATCCTCTTTCTTTCAATCTACGCGCAATGGTTCGTGCAGAAACTATATTGTACCTCGTACATCTCGTATTCTATGACTTATAACTGTAGATGGTGTGTCACGATCTCGTAATGCTGTTAGATTGATGAGATGGTCATCACGTTGATGGGTCACACGTGGTCTACCTGATCCCTTACGTCAAATGTACTCACCAGTCTGACGAAACCGACTAATCGCATCTTGTACAGTACTACGACCATCACTATTCAAGGCAACAGCACGTGCAACATCCTCGGGTCTCATTTTCAACACACAAAAAAAAACAGTTAATTATGGAATGGCAGAATACTGACACTTTGTTAAACAATACTTTTAATGTTACTACACAACCAAAGACCGGTGTGATGAATGAGTTCACGTAGGTTGTGGAATATTGTTGATAAAAATTAAAAAATGCCATACTTTCTTGAAACATTTGTATCTTCTCTTGAAAAGAAGATATTGACGTGAAGAAAAGAATGGATGTATTGAGAAGGAATCACACATACACAAAACATATATACAGTGTCATTCATGAATCAAGGCTAGTATCGTTGAATATGAAAAAAATGTGGGCAAAAATGTCCAGGTTATGAAATTATTTGAATGATTTTACTGGTAACATTTTGTTTTCCTGTACGCATCTGTAATAACATGCCTAGTTTCCGAAATACAATGGTTGCAGAAAATTTCAGAAAAATTCTTTTTTTCATCAATTACTCAAACACTTCTGGCTGACGGTGCATGAATCAATTGATCTATTGAATTTCAAAGATCATTGGTCCGAAATTTTCTTTAGGAATCAATAAATTGCTATTCATTAAATTATGGAAAGTGAAGTTGGATATCAGTCAAAATTTTATGACAACAATTCTGGAAAATATTTGAATAACTACAGTAGGAAGGTGATGCAACTATCTATATTTAATCTATGATCTATATAATCACCCATTAAGAGTAGCAAAGTTTCCTACCTACGATTATAACGTTGCCCTACTCCCATTATTAGATGCACTCACTATAGCGGTAGCAAAGTCAGATACCTACTACAGAAACATCGTCTAATATAACAATATACAGATGCACTCGCTAATGGCAGCAAGGTTTCTATATCTAATAATCGCAGGTGTGTTATAATCAGCAAAGTCGACTTTATAATCACAAGTAAAAACTCGCTTGTCCCCTATGCTATTGAAGTTTCTTGCTGGGGTAAGTCGATTTCTGACTATGGTTAATAGGAATTTTTCTCAGTGCAGCCTGCTGGTAAATTCGCCACTGGGTGACTACTTTTTTGGGAAACCAACTTTGATTGCTTATGTCAATATTTAACTGAATAAATAAATGATAATAATGAAGTGACACGCTGTTCTTATATATGAAACATTTCAATTCGATTTCTGTTCCAGGTCAACGGAACCTACCATTCCCTGTGGTTTGCCTCCAAATACCTGATATTCATTAACGCGGCGATCAATCCGCTGATCTACGGGGTGACCAACGAAAAATTCCTCACAGCCTTCAAATCGACCAGGCTGTCCAAATGGATGTTTCCACCCACCAAAAAGGAGATTATCAGCAAACCGCTAGGAAATCCTGGTTTGGACACGACCAGCAAAAACACGATTTTCCTCATCTTCAAAAGGAGACACAAAGTGGCTGATGGACCGATACCGGTCACCAAGAAAACTAATATCAATACCAATTTGTAATGAAACCGCTTTATGATCCAACAATAGACGGTGTAACTATATTGTTTTATTCTTTTTTAGTCCGATCAAGATGTACATCCGTGCTTGCAAAAGGTCTGGTCATTCTGAAAGTCTTTTATGTTGTTAGGACCAAAACCAATATAAAAAACCAACCATAGCAGCAGAATTCCTCTTTCACATGAACTTTGAATCATGAGAAAATATGCATTTTTAACAAAGTTATTGAATAATTTGTCCCCCCGCCGATGTGTAAATACACGGACTGTGCTCTCTGGTATACAACAGAAGCTCATTATTCGAGGTGCGCTTCGTGCCGTTTTTCTCGAAACCGGGCAAATTTTCGAGAAAAATGATGGGGACCATTTTTGTAGAAAATTAACTGAACTTCAATTTTTATCTGAACCGAAAATCTCTAACTGCCATATTTTAGGAGATATTGGCTGAAAACCTATTTTTCTGGTCTTTTGGGGTCATTTTCTCCGCCATCGCACGCGTTTTCCAGTCAAACTCTGTCTCATGTTTAATGAGGTACCAAAAGCTACTTCCAACCGAAAGATGAAAATAGTGCGTAATTAACGTTAACTTTGCCTTTTTTTCCTCCTTCATTTATTGGACTAAGAGTAATCTTCAGGATCCTGAAAAAATTGCGCATCTAGGCCATAATCTAACTGAGCCGATAACTGACCCTGTACATCTCACATTTTACGAAATTCCCATAATGGGGAGGCTCGAATTCCAACCACCCAGAAAATAAATACAGGTTGTTCCATATATGTGTGCGATGCACAAATCTAAGAACATATTATAGATCGTAGACAACTTCATTTTCGTGTTCTTATTATTTTCCCTATGAAATTCAGAGCAGCAAGATTGATTAGACAATTTTTATTTTCACATAGGTACCTAGTTGACTGACACACTTCAATTATTATTTATAACGATCACTAAACCATAGACGGAATATTATTTTTCTCCAGTAATTCTTTGAGGTGCTCAATTTTTTCTTCGTCTTGCCTTTTACTTTCCGAAACTTGATTTTCGTGGAATTCCAACATTTTGATGTATTTCACCTCCAAATTGTTGACGATCTCCTCGATTTGATTTTGTCTATCGGCATTCGTTCTCGATATTAATTCGGCTCGCTGAGTTCTCAACTGAATCTAAAAGTTGAATTGATCAAGGCCACATAGAAGTTTTACAACAGGTTTTACAGTTGGATTGAAAATTTTAAAATCAGTATGCTGTTATAATCGACTATTTCCTCGACTGTTTTCAATCTACCTGGACTATTTTCAGTCCTCTAGCTATACAGGGTGTGTACCAAAAGTAATCAAAAACATTCTCGTGAATAAATAACCATATTCCTTATTCTCAATTTAGAAATACTCACAAATATCACGAAAGTTACATAGGTACTTATAAGATTTGAGTGGTAGAATATTAAAAATCAACAACAAAAATACAAAACAAATGAAAAAATTGAACTGATCTCATAATCAGATAAAGTATTGAACTTTTTTGGTTAATACATATCATTAATTCGTAATATGTGATTATAATAATGAATAAGGGTCAAAGTACTCATGTAGGTCATGAAGTGTTTCAGTAGATCACTAGATCAATATGAAAATCAGGAGATTTACTGAAAATTCAGTAGAACTGACAACCCTGCAGCAGACGAAGAGTCTTTGCGGAAGAAAAGTTTCATTTTTTGTTTGTTCTCGTTTCCACGAAAAGGGATATCCTGTAATGTTCAGAGAACATCGTGAGAACCAAGGGAAATAAAGTAGGAATTGGTGTTCTTCTGGAATTCCTGGAGGTTATGTGCCTCGGGGAACACCTCCCTTGGCAATGTGTTCCAGAGCCTCGCTGTTCGTTGGATGAACGAGTCTTTGGAAAGAGATATGTTCTGCAGGTCTCCACGAGCTAGGTGACCACGAAGGGGTGCGAAGCCTCAACTCGACCGGTTAATCTCGCGGGGACTGCTAAGGGAGGAACAATTGTTGATATTTCAGAAGAGCATCGCCCATGAAAATATCTTTAAAAAAGAGCCAGATCGCCAACTTTTCTACGGTGTTCCAGAGAAGTGAGTGAGTTTGTGAGCGAGGCATCACCCACGAGACGAATTGCCCTTTTTTAGACAGAATCCAACAGTTTCAGGGTATGTTTGAGGGCTGCACTCCAAATATGGGAACAGTATTCCAGGACAGGTCGGATCTGTGCCTTATAGATCATAAGCAGTTGACTGGAAGTGAAATAGCTCGGCTCGAAACAGAAAACCAAGTTTTTGGGATGCACTTTTAGCAATTGATCTCACGTGATTTTCCCAAGAAAGGTTATTGCTCATAGTGATTCCAAGCTTATGTCGAAAAGTACTTGCCTTCGGAAATAGTCGGTTTTTCGTTCGGAAATTAGAACGTACAATGTGTACAATGTGAACAGTAAGGGATTTATTACAATGTACTTAGTGTAAAAGGGTAGAAAAAATAGTAAGTTCATTATTGAGTTCTAGTTCTAATATTATAAAATAACCAATGAACGTACTTGTGCCACCTTATCTTTCAATTCCAACTCTTGCTTCAATTTTTCAATTTGTTTCATATAGTCTTTCTCGGACTTGTGAAACAGTTTGTCCATTTTCGAAACACATTTCTTCAATACAAATACTTTCTCTTCGGGTACATTATTATGGTTGTGGTTGTGGTTGTTGTTGCATGGCATGGAATTCTCTATTTGTTTCCTCAAAGCGGCTATTTCGTTTGACATCCTGAAATCGTATACAGGGTGTCCCATTTCAACACCAGCAGAGATATCTGGGTCATTTCACAGGAAAAATTGTAGGGACAATAGGCGAATGGACTATAATTTCTTTTATTTCTTAAATAGAATCATCACAGTCGAATACCTTTCAATATCATATTTTTCAGGAATTTTTTGGTAGATTTTAAGGTGCTAAAATCATCAATAACCCAGCGAGCACAAACATCCCTGGGATGAAATATTGGCATGAAGATGATATTTTGAGACGTAATATGCACTGACCAAAGAGGTCTTTGAAGGATATTGAAATATTGTTTTTGTTCTTCTGTGGCATTTCTTTGTTTGCCTACTATGAGAGGTATCCCTGGGATATTTTGGGATGTTTTAGAAATGTAGGCATGAGGATGTTTTTTTCAGGCGTAATATGCACTTCCCAAAGGGGTCTTAGGAGGATATTGAAAGTATTGTTTTTGTTCTTTTGTGCCCTTCCTTTGTTTGCCCCACCACAACGTCGTCTCATGCTTACGTCACAATACGATGAATTCTGATTTGTTTTCGATTTTGTTCTTCTTGTTCGCAATTGGCATTCGCGTTTGCAGCGTGTCACGCTTACATCACGCTGCTAACGAACAAAAAGGAATTTGGTGAAGTTTATTGTGTTAGAAGACTTATTTAGTTTGTAATATAATGACCATCAGATGCAAGATGTGTTGTTCGGTGCCTCAGTGTAATCAATATATAAAAGTAGGAATTCATCAATACACAGCTTCTCTGTTCTCTGCAGTTGCAAAATTATGCATTGTGGAGAACATTTCAAAAATTGAGAAACCTATTTCCAATTATATGTCTGTGTGTAGTAAGCACTACTCAGAAATAACCGATTAAGAAGGTAATTTCATATCAAGAAAATATTTTTATGTTCAATCTACTTTTAATGCATTTTTTCTTTCAAGGGGGATGGAATCCTAATGCAGAAGTTCATTTTGACAAAAGGCTTCAGAAAAGTACCTCGAAAATGGTTTTTTTACAGCGATTTTATGTGCGCAAGACGCGTTGAAAATGTTTTGTTGTGTCCATGAGAAGGCTTTAAAAAGAACTAGGGAGAAGGTAGTTTTGTGACATATCAAGGACATCTCGATAATTGCCGCCTGCAGCGGACATTGGCTGTTCTGTAATAGTATATTCTATTCATGTGTAAACAGAACATCGCAGTGGAGGTTCAATGTCTCGAAATCTCGTACTTTCAACATCTCTGAGATGTTTTTGTGCTCGCTGGGAATGCCACGATAATTTTCAAATGGACAATAATTTACCGCCAGTAAAAACTGACGTCACGATTTCGTAAGTAGAGGTAGACCAAAGCACAGTTGCCATGTGTTGAAATACGATTGGGAACTTGAGGAATATTGTTATTCAATAATTCATAAATTCTCAATTGACTATTGGTAATATTCCTAATTTGCAATGAGAATGCAATTGTCTTGAAATGTTCCCTTATATGTGGCCTATATTGGTTATAATAAATTTGTGTTGATAATTATATTAATTCACATAATAAAGGACATTTTAGACTCAAGTAGAGATCTGATCATCTTTAGTGTTTTATGTATTCCATGACATTGACATTTGACATACCAGAGTAAGGACACACTTTTGAGTAAGGCCGTTGTCATTAGCATCGCTTATGTTAATGAACTATAATAATTATTTAATGAGTATTATTATTAAACTGTTTTCAGCGAATAATTCGAAATAATGTAACTTTCGACATGTAGCAAGTCAAATTAAATCAAGATGAATTCATAATTAGGCGTTATTTCTAGTGAACTCCTGTTTTCCTAGATACATTTTTTTTGCGTGAGATAACCCAGATATCTATACTGACATATTATTTTATGTGGTGTTAAATTAAACTATAATTTTTTGTGTTTGCCTTTTTTGTGAATTTGGAGGACGTACTACGAAGACACTGTCTGTAGGTTAATCGAGGAGGTGGTATATTCATTATTCCAAATTTTTTGGGATTTTCTCTCCTCGTTTCTATAAAATAAAAATATGAATATTATTTCAATATACGTGTAGTAAGGACAAATCAGATGATTTGCCCCAAAATGTCACTGCGTTTAAAGAATTTTCCTATCAGAGAGCCTAAAAGAAAAATTCACTAGCTTGTCAGTGACAATTTGTATTGAAAAAATTTTTGGAGAAGGGAAATAAAGGTATATAGAAAAAATATCAAATTTTCACTTATCTTTGGACGTTTCGGGACCGGTTCTGCTCCCGTTTTCAACATAAGAAGAGATTATTTCAATAGCGAAGTCGTATAATGTCTTGAAGCTTTTCAGTTTTCAATGACAATTGGTGACGTTGGCAATCAAATGAGTTACAAGATGTTTTCATTAATTGATCTTGAATTTACCATTTTCATGTTCAGATTTTAGTAGTGAATACCATGTTCTGTCTATATCAACTGAACAAGAAGCAATGTTATTGTCTCCGTTCAGAAGAATGCAAGCAGATTCCTTGATTTCCAATAATTTTAATATTATTCCACTCTGCCATATGTTGTCCGTCTTCAGTAAGGATATGTTCAGCTAGTTTCGATTTATCGATGTTTCTTTTCTTTATATTGTACTTATGTTCCTTCGTCCTTACTGAAAGAGGTCTCTTGGTTTCACCTGTATAAAACTTTCCACAAACACAAGGTATACTGTAAATACAATTTTTTGATGATTGTTCTTCATTTTTCGGCTTTGTTTGAGTTAGAATTGATCTCATTGTGGAAAGTTTTATACAGGTGAAACCAAGAGACCTCTTTCAGTAAGGACGAAGGAACATAAGTACAATATAAAGAAAAGAAACATCGATAAATCGAAACTAGCTGAACATATCCTTACTGAAGACGGACAACATATGGCAGAGTGGAATAATATTAAAATTATTGGAAATCAAGGAATCTGCTTGCATTCTTCTGAACGGAGACAATAACATTGCTTCTTGTTCAGTTGATATAGACAGAACATGGTATTCACTACTAAAATCTGAACATGAAAATGGTAAATTCAAGATCAATTAATGAAAACATCTTGTAACTCATTTGATTGCCAACGTCACCAATTGTCATTGAAAACTGAAAAGCTTCAAGACATTATACGACTTCGCTATTGAAATAATCTCTTCTTATGTTGAAAACGGGAGCAGAACCGGTCCTGAACGTCCAAAGATAAGTGAAAATTTGATATTTTTTCTATATACCTTTATTTCCCTTCTCCAAAAATTTTTTCAATACAAATTGTCACTGACAAGCTAGTGAATTTTTCTTTTAGGCTCTCTGATAGGAAAATTCTTTAAACGCAGTGACATTTTGGGGCAAATCATCTGATTTGTCCTTACTACACGTATATTGAAATAATATTCATATTTTTATTTTATAGAAACGAGGAGAGAAAATCCCAAAAAATTTGGAATAATGAGTACTACGAAGACGTTCAGCGGAAATCGTTAAATAAAAAGTACTCATTGAAAGTTACAACTTCCAACTATCTATAATACTGCATGTTGCAACTTACAATTCTCTATAATTGCATATCTTTCACCTTGCAATTAGCCATAATTGCAAGTTGTAACATGCAATTATAGATAATTGCGAGATATGTTACGTGCAATTATAGATAATTGCAAATTGTTACAAGCAAATAATGTATTGCTAATATAGCATCTTTCAACTTGCAATTAGATATAATTGCATGTTACCACTTGCAATTATTTATAATTGCATGTTATAACTTGCAATTATCTTTAATTGTTTGTAACAACTTGTAATTATCTATAATTGCATGTTACAACTTGCAACTATCTATGATTCCATTTTTCAACTTGCAATTAGCTATAACTGCATGTTAAAACTTGCAATTAGCCACACCTAATTGCAAGTTATAACCTGCAATTATGGCATCGGTTGCAAGTTGTTATAACATGCAATTGTAGATAATTGCAAGTTATTGCATAAAAGTATGGCTAATTGCAAGTTGAAAAATGCAATTATGGTTAATTGCAAATTGTAACATGCAATTATAGATAATTGCAAGGTGTATTCTGCAACTAGCAATTTTTATCGAACGATGTCCGCTCAGCGCCTTCGAATCGAACAGACAATTCGTCCAAAAGAAAAAATAATCGAAAAATCAAGTTAAACCTTATACACTGTTGCTGAATAATGTCAGAAAGGCGATAAATTTCCTTGTCCTTCTCTTTTTTGTCGTCCTCATACTCTAGCTTCAATTCCCTCAGCCTCATCTCAGAATCTGCTTTTATCTCTTCCATTTTCAGTTTATAATTGTCTTCGATTTGTTCGATTTGGAATTCGTAAGATCTTTCCAGTTTCCTCAATTGCTCGCTTTTGGTTTTCCGCAACATTTCCATTTCTTTTGCATGAACTTCGGCCGTCATTTTTTGCTTCATCTCGGTTTGCTCCTGATTATGACAACGTATTAATATCGACTAGTTTCTATGTAACTAGATCTTTCGTGTGAGGTCATTGTTATGTAAAGTACGTATGTTGATGCTATACAGGGTGTAAATTTGAAAACTTTCAATGCGAATATCTCGCGAAATAAAAAAGTTTCAAAAACGCCGCTTGGCAAAAATGCTAAAGAGTTAAGGGGAACTAGAACCATCATATTTCAGTGAAGGGATGAGTCACCCTGTCAGCGCAACACACCCCAACTTTGAAATGTCAAATGGCACTACTTCTTTTGTGATACCTCAAATGAACGGTCTCAGTCAGTAGTATTCACCTGTACAAGACTTTTTTCCACCCACTACAGGGTGTACGAAAAACATTAATTCGAGGGTCTAAATCTGAAAACTTTCAATGCGAATATCTCGCTGAATAAAACAGTTAGGGAAACGCCGTTTGGCACAAATGCTACAGAGTTAGGGGGAACTAGAACCACCATATTTCAGTAAAGGGATGAGTCACCCCGTCGGGGCGACACACTCCATCTTTGAAATGTCAAATGGCACTACCTCTTTTGTGATACCTCAAATGAACGGTCTCAGTCAGTTGTATTCACCTGTACAAGACTTATTTTTCACTCACTACAGGGTGAACGGAAAACATAAAGTCGAATAATATAACATGCAGAATGCCGATATATTCCAAGAGATGTGTTCCAAAATGTTAGAATGGCATTTGAACATCGATTATACTATTGCTTACAAAAGAATGGAATGCATTTTGAACATCTGATCTAATAAAATATCCTTTTAACACAATTCATTTTATTTTATTCGACTTTATATTTTTCGTACACCCTGTAGTGGGTGGAAAAAAAGTCTTGTACAGGTGAGTACTACTGACTGAGACTGTTCATTTGAGGCATCACAAAAAAGGTAGTGCCATTTGACATTTCAAAGTTGGGGTGTGTTGCGCTGACAGGGTGACTCATCCCTTCACTGAAATATGATGGTTCTAGTTCCCCTTAACTCTTTAGCATTTTTGCCAAGCGGCGTTTTTGAAACTTTTTTATTTCGCGAGATATTCGCATTGGAAGTTTTTAAATTTACACCCTGTATGTAATGTTTTGTCCGAATGTAGCTGCTAATAATTGCGGTATTAAAGTCGTATTTAGTTGCTTTTCAAATGTCAACGCTGAGATACTGAATTCCCGTGTGTTAACGCTGAGTAATTGTATTTTTTGTATGTGATTAATGGTTCATCATATTTTTTGTATGTGGGTGCTAAATAATTATCTGTTTGGCCTATGGTTGCAAAAAATCTAAAGTTAGGTATAAGGTTACTATGTAATCATATTTTTCTGTAATGTAATTACCATAAATAAGTAGGTATTTATAAATATGGCTGCTAGCTAGTTACATATTTTGTGAGATATGGTCGCTATGTAACCGTAGATACAGTATGTCACAGCTAAAATGTATCGCGCTGTGGATAATCATCCGCATGAGTGAATTATTTGAAATTTGGGCAACCAGTCTATTTGGTTATGCTGATTCAAAATATATGTACAGAATGATACAGAAGTGTAACTGTAGTTTGCTCAAAATTGGCTGCTATGTAACTGCAACTTTCGTTTGAGGTGATTGTTATATAACTACAGGGTTCCTCAAAAGTACCGGAACGGCCGAATATTTCAGCAACTGCTTGACATAAAGTTATAAAATTTGGTATACCGGGGTAATCAGTTGTGCCGGATCTGAAAATAATATTTGCAACGTTGCCAGTTTCACAGTTTTTCCTATAGAGCCCTCAACTTTATTTTTTTAAATGTAATGCTATGTTTATTTTTAGCGCATTCGCCTCAAAACTACTATGACCCTATAATATCAAATTTGTATTCCCTTCATTTTTGTTAATATGACAAATGAACATTTCGTCAAAAAATATCACAAAATTTCAATATTTTGAGAAATCGTGGCGATATGACAATAAAAATTAATTTATAAGGAAGTTTTCAGCAAGTCTGATCTAAAAATACCATTTACAACGTTGCCAAATCTACATGTTGTTTATACTGAATCTTCCTTGGTATTTTTGGTTGCTATAGGTAACCGTATCAACGTATGTGATATAGCTCGCGATAGAAAATAAGCGTACGCCACCTATTGAAGTTCTTGGAAAGCAGTCAAAGCAGTCTGTCTACTATCTGTTTTTATTGATTCACAGTTGTTTTTTGTTTGTGCTTATTGGTCATATCATCAAAACAAACGCTCAGAAGTGTTCAGGTTGTTACCGTCAGGTGGGCAACGTGTCATTTTTTATCGCGAATACAGGATGTCCCAAGTTATCGTATATAGGTATTGGCAATTTCTCGCTTATTTGACAAGATGATTGAAAAATTCAGAAACTGCATTGAATGGCATTGAAGCACCTTCCTCATGATATGCAAACAAATCTATTACATTTGACAGTTCTCTGGCAGCTACCCCCCACTTTTTATTTTCAAATGGCACCCCCTGTATATTGTCACTGATGGAAATTACGTGTCATTCAATTTGGAATACAACGATAGCATAAACTTGGTATTTTTTTATTATTATTACAAAAACAGCATCATTCAATGAAGTATGAATTTCAACTAAAATAGCTTTTTTCTACAAACGTCAGTTAAAGTATAATTTTTGACGCATGCTCAGTGTCTAAAATGTCAGTTTATGACACTGGTGTTGAAAATAAATCACTTTCAGCACTAGTGCTAAAAGTGTCAAGAATGGATAAAAACTATAATTTTATTGAGAATATATGAAATTCTCATTTCATTCAAGAACAGTACAATAACCTAGTCTAGATCATATTCTTAGAATTATTTAGCTTACAGGATATCAGTAGAGATTCACGATATTCAAAGGAAATTACAGTTCGGATTTCAATTTTATTATTATTCAAGTAAAGTCGCTGACGGGCAGAAACTGCTGGTTTTTGGATTTTTCCTAATCGAGGTGTACTTCGTGAGTGGCAGTTTCAATCCTCCAACGAAAAGCGAGCCCTTCTGTAAGTACCTTTTTTGAGTATTACTTTAGTTTTCCTGTTTTGTTTCGATTTGAGTTGGATGTATCTTGCTGGATAATTAATGGTCAGTATATTTCATGCCCTAATTGTTTTTATTCAAAATAAATAAACTTGTGAAGTGGAGTTAAATTATTTAGTTATCATTTTCAAAAAAACCTCTTGCAAGCGAGAAGCGAGTAAGTTCGAGTTGCGATAGTGGGCGTTAGAGCCACTCGTGACAATATATCGACACTTGGTAGGCTTTGAAATTTAAATATCAATAGTAAACCGATATTATTCGAGATGTTTTGATATTCTGATCAGTGTCTGCAGGTTGTCAATAGCTTGTTTGAGTCAAGATGAAAACCTTCGAAAATAAATCATGATATTGAGGAATCTAAGATAGGAACATATTTTTTCGAATTCAGCTACTCGTACAGAAACTATCTGTCTTTTATTTTGGCCATGTACCTATCACATGATCTTCCCATTTGGATAGAAAATTTCAAGGCGAAGAAGATAGACTGAAGAAATTTACAGGGTGACATTCACAAAAAAAAAGTTGGGGTCACTTCCGGTCAAACAGGTGGTTGAAAAAAATTGTCTTTAAGTTCGTAAAGTGCGCTACCATTTATTATATACCCCTTATGAATTTCAAAATTTTGTCTCTCCAAATCAAAAAACTACAGGCTGCTACATGTCTCCTGTGTCACCCGGTATGTCATCAGGAAGGTACTTCAATACCATTCAATGAAGTTTTTGAATTTTTCAACTATCTTGTCAAATAAGCGAGATATTGCCTGTATACGATAACTTGGGACACCCGGTGTAGTGTTTTTCTCCAGCGAAATGTATAATCATATTTATCAATTCATGAATGGCAATGTCATTGAACGAACCTTGTTGGAGCTCTCGTAATTCGATTTCGCTTTCAAAGCCTGGATCACCGATTTCAGTTCGTTATTTTCATTCAACGTTTCGGTCAGTCTCATTTGAAGAGACTCGATCGTTTTCTTCCAGTCGGCTGATATGAAATGGGTGTCTTTCAATGGAAACTTGGTGTCCACTTCATCCTAGATATAAAAGTACGTTGTCTTACTAGGAATAAATGAGATGACTTTATTGGTTGCGACTAGCGAAATTTGCATTTGCGAGGCGAAGTCACTTTTCATGCGTATGAAACATGCCATTTTGTCTGCTACCAAAAAATGTACACCTAATTAATAAAATACAGGGTGTTATCGAGATGAATACTTCAAATTTGAACCTTAAGAATGCCCAAGGTATACTATCGAAAGGCACAATTGAAATAGAATAGCGATTAAAATGAGACAAATCCTTCTTTTCTACGGCTATAACATAAAAATTGCTCTTGTTTTCAATATTTTCGATAAATCAATGAGGTACTTACATTGAATCGCTAAAATAACAAAAATGGATACCAAAATCACTACTATAACGACTAAAATGCAACTGATAGTCTCATAATTCGAAATTTAAGAGGAATCAAATATTTTGAGAATTTTCGGTAAGACTAAATTATATTGCTGTGTTCAATATGTAGGTATTTGTTTCATTACTACCCTGTATAAATGTCACTAATTCGAATACGTGAGCGGCAACAGCTATGTACAGGGCTAACATAATAACTAACAAAATATTTGAAAATTAAGAGTCAGATATTTGGGACGGCTACAAGAAGTTGCTATGCAAAGTAGCAAAATTTTATGAAAAAGCTTTGTGAAACGATAAGATATACTTAGGAAAAACAATTCCGAAATTTTCGATTTTGCCGGTATAACTCCAGAACTAAAGAAGATAGATCAGAAAAGGAATATTCTCAGATGAATTATATGAACATGAAAAAATGGATATATATATATACAGGGTGGTATTGAAATAAGTGCAAATATTTCAAACACTGAGAAAGCTCGACTATACGTGTACTATCGAATGGCACTAATAAAAATAATTTAGGGATCAAAATGAAATTGGAGGTTATACCCCTTCTTGCACCCAAAGTTCTACACTGTAGCAAATCTGACGTCACCTCTTTATTTCTTCATTTACGAAAAGGAATACAAACGGGACTAACCCAAAAGCAGTATTCACAGATAAGTCATATCTCATCATACAGATATATTAATACTAAACAAATCGAATATCAATTACAAAGTTGATGATAATCAATAATTGGAGTAATTAATGATTGAGTAGGTACAACATGTAGCGATTGTAGTGTGTTGATACAAACAAAGGTGAAATAATTTCAGGACATATTCAAGTAGGTGAAGCCAGGAAATGTTTTTTCAAAATTTAAGAAAATTTGGAAAGTGAGTAAGAGAAAATATCAATATCAATATATAGAATTTGACAATAACTCAGAACACTATTGACATGTGACATATAAAATGTACGGAGTGACTGTGTATTTTTGCGTTCACGAGTTCTCATTATGAAACCTCTAGCATTTTATAACCTTTTTTAGCAATGTAAAATATATGCTTATCGAAAAGCATTTTTGAATCGAATATTATTCCTAAATCCTTAATTTCTGTGACAGTTTGTAAGGGACGAGAAGATATTTGATGAGAGTGATTTAAAATGCTTTTCCCGCGTCCGAACGAAATGTGGTAACACTTCTCAATGTTAATGTATAGACTATTCAGCTCACAGTAATCATGAAAACGATTGATATCCTGCTGCAATAGTTTGATGTCGTCAGCATCGGCAATTGAGTGGTATATTTTTAGATCATCCGCATACATTACAAAATTGGAGAATCGAAAACATTGAGATTTATTATTAATATAAATGTTGAATAATAGTGGCCCAAGGCGGGATCCTTGAGGCACTCCACTCTGTTCAAATTTCCATGCGGTAGGCACAAGCACGCGGAGTTCAATCATTCAAATTGTTTTAAAGTGGCGTACCTGATTTTATTTCGTATTTTGTTCGATTTTTGGGATAAAATGTCTCGTTAATTAGAAGAGAATTAGAACAAATCTAATATGATGGGAATATTCGTTAGACTGTATCATATTAATGTGCTGAATATGTGCACTTATTTCGAAAACACCTTGTATATATATATATCCATTTTTTCACGTTCATAATTTATCTGAGAATATTCCCTTACAATATTTTCACTCACTCATGCAAAGGGTTCAAACTTAAACGATGGAAACGATGTTATTTTTATAGAACTTTAATCACAGATTCGTCTTCAGGTTTTCTCAATTCAGAATTTCTTTCCACGTCCTGTATGATAAATATAATTTTGTCATACATCCAAAAACAAGCTAGATCAGATTTTTCCTATCCATATAATTGACCTCTGGAATACGTTATGAGACACGAATTTGAATAGCCCTGTATTAGCTGTCACCTCAGTTCAGATTCAAGAAAACATTTTATTATTATTATTATTTTCATCAACTTACCGGTGATTTCGAAGTGATATCAATTGTATCATCCTGTACAACTTCATGCGGCTCTGTAAGTTCGAAAAGTAGTTAGAGGGCGATTCACCATAAATGCCCCCCCCCCCTTCTAGCTCACTCATTTTTGAACCGATTTCGAAATTTTTTGGGTCACCTGAAATGATTATTCAGAATTTTTTTATCGCTACATCAGAAAATACGATGTGCTCGGAACTAAGGATCTTCAGGGTACTAGTTGATTTTTTCGAATAGGATACACACCCTGTATTCCATCTCATTTTTAGAATCTTCCTGAAGAGCTGATTTCTTCAATACATCACACTTGGGGTCTAGCGGGAATGATTGAAGAGATATAGGGTGTTCAAAATCGAGATTTTTCAACTTGAGAATTTTGTCTCCCTTATAGTACGCAACGTCCTATAGGGACGTCCCTTTTTGGTACAATTCAAGTTCGAATGTCCCAGACCTATAATAATTATCCTTGAGACGTCCCATCTCGTACGTCTCATGCTTTGTCCGAACAAGGACGTCCATGGAATATCCGAGCTGGTACATCAGTTCAAATGTCTTAGAAATAGCATCCTTTAGACGTTTCACATGGTACATATAGTAGAATGTCCATGCAAGGACGTCCTAAGCATTTTGAACGTTCCTTTGGGAACATCCATCAGATGTCCCAAGAAGTACACTTTCTGGAATGACTTCTGTACTTATATAATGACCTTCAATATTCCGAGGATCGTATAACACCAGAAATGTCCCTAGGATGTCCCAATTGGTTCATGAACTGTTATGACTTCGTATGGAACACCTATAGATAATTCATATGTTCATCCGAGTAATAAGTAGGTATAAGAAAATTCTTCGAAGAATATTGTTTCATGAGAAGTCATGACTACAACGTCTTATGGACGTCCCAAGAATGTCCTCAGAATGTCCTGAATACGATTTGGAATGTGTCTTAAGGGACATCAGTCGAGTCAGTCGATGTCCTTTGCGCAAATCCATTGGGAACCTTCTTCAGGATCTATTGAGGACCTTCTAAGGACCATCAACTCACCTGGATGTTTTCATCTGTTATGCAAGATTTGGTCCTAGGGATACTCAAATAAATTCAAAGTCAGGATTAATTCGTACGTCCAGGGACATCCTATGAACATTCCAGACGACGTCCTATGAAAGTTCCAGGGACGTTCTATGATCGTTCTAGAGGACGTCTTATGGACCTTCTAGGTGACGTTTGATGATTTTTTTGAAAGGACGTCCATTGGATGATTTCCCAAAGAGGTCCAAAATGTATTTCCTGGAGGTATATACTTTTCTGGTGAGAAGTCGGGACATTTGTAGTTTCCATGGACGTATATTATGGATGTCCCGGTGGGATGTCTTATGGACATCCATGTGAATTCAGTGTGCTATTAGGGCTAATTATTATTGGTGAAAACAAGTCACATATCACTATTTTAACTTCTGATTTACTATCTACTGACATTTAATTAGAAAGATACAGAGGGTGGTTCAAGATTCACAATTCTGATCACTATGGTCTCTGTTCCAATTATATAATGTCAGTAGATAGTGGGTCAAAAGTTAAGATAGGTTTATGGAAGCCGTTTTGACCGATGATGAATAGTTTCGACACAAAAAAATCCTCAAGTTGTAAAGTCTCGATTTTGAACACCCGATTTCTCTGTAATCATTCCCGCTAGACCTCAAGTGTGATACATTGACGAAATCAGCTCTTCAGGGAGAATCTAAAAATGCGATGAAGTACAGGGTGTTCCATTTCAAAAAATCAACTAGTACCCTGTAGATAGTTTGTTCCGAGCACCCTGTATTTTTTGATATAGCGAGAAAGAATTTATTTAAAATCATTTCAAATGATTTCTCAAATTTTGAAATCGGTATAAAAATATCTGATCTAGAGGAGGGGGGACATTTATATTGAATCACACCCTGTACCTAATATCAATAAGGTAACGGATAACCAATTCAATCAGACTTTACCAGACCTTAGCAGTGCAGACTAGTTGGAAAGTAGTAGAGTAGGTTGGGGTCGGGTAAACAGGGTGTTGCGAACTTCTTGACAGGTGATGGCCATGCATCGTGATTTTATGTGCAGCATTTCATTCAATACGCATAATTATTTATATTCATACATACTTATTCAAAATTATTATTAAAATTTATCTAATGATATTATTAAATGTTAATTAAGGAAATAAAATAATTTTTATGGGAGTTTAATATCCAGTTTTTTATTTTTATTGTATAGGATTGTAGTGATTTTGTTTTTATAATATCATTTGGAATTTTATTATATATAGGTAAGGAATTAAAAATTTATAATTTCTACGTCCAATTGACTTGTTTGTTTTATATTTCAATGTTATGTTATTTTTATTTCTTATGTCATAGATATGTTCTTTGAACTGAATGTCCTTTTTATTTTTGAAAATATGAATCAGTAAATTGTAAATATAGAGTTGATTTATATCCATTTTCATAGATTCCTTATATAAAAGTTCAGTTGGAAACGAATAATCTTTTCCATAAATAATTTTTAAAATCCATTTTTGTGCAATTTCCAATTTTCTCAAATATATCTGCTTCACTCCACCCCATCCTAATATCCCATAAACTAATTGAGATTGAACTAAAGCATAGTACATCATTTCTAAATTTCGAATATTCAATAAGCTTTTCAAATGTTTGAATTTAGGAATGAGGCATCTTATTTTCTTAGTGACATAATCAATATGATGATCCCATTTCAGATTATTGTCCACCATTATACCAAGGTATCTGATACAGTCAGTTTCCTGAATTTCAATTTCTCCATTTATCTTGATAGTGCCTAAATTTGGTTGAGAATTTTGATAGGAAATAAATGTCATATATTTTGTTTTTTCAAAATTAATTGTTAATAAATTCTGATCAAACCATTCTTTAATAATAGGAAAATCATTAATTACTTTGTTTTTCGATTCACACCAATCTTTCGCAGAGTAAAAGATAACAGTATCATCTGCGAAAGAATGTATAGTACCAGCTGAATTTAGTTGTAGTAAGTCATTCAAATAAATATTGAGTATATTTACATAGCTTCTACAGGGTTCATCAATGTAGATGAAAAAGAGTTTTAAATATAAAAGTTGTAGGATTTTGTTCCGAATCTCCAGAAATTTGTAGGAGGTGAAACAATTGAAAATCGCTGATATAAGAAATGGGTACCAACTTCGTTATTTTCTATGGAACACCCTACATATTTTTCGGAAAAATTCAAGGAATGCAGATTGTCATTATTCAAACTTTCTGTCATATTTTTTGCATGAAGTTTTAAACAAAAAACAGCAAAATTTTCGGACTTTTCGTTTTTTTTTCTGTGATGGGAAAAAAGTTTGGCATTTCATCTCTGTTGGCAGGTTATAAAATGTCACTTTTCATGAATTACTTTTTTTCCCGTGGAAAAAAGTGAGTACTTTTTTCCCAGACATATATCACATATATATACCATAGATCTAAATACACACACTTAGATCTCTGTATATAGTTGATGGCTTTTGTTGTACTATAGTTCCGGAGAATGAGTCAATAATCCCGTCTCCGAGAAAGAACTGCAAGTCCTTTTATCTTCCATTCGACTTCGCGGTCACGATAATATTACTAAACAACCACTGAATTCTCAATTTTTTGAAATCAAATCACAGAATTAGACTTCACTTTCTACTACAACGCAGGTGTCCTTATACTGTTAAAAATTCAAAATTTCACGTCGATAATTTTCAGATTTCAAAATAATGTAATATTTTCTCAATATTGATGCGTCCTTTTATATGTCACAGAAAAAAATAGTGTATTATACGCGTCAAGAGACAACACAACTTGGAGCTAAAATCTACTATTTTTTTCCCTTGTATAATAAATAACTATTTTTCTGTGACGGGAAAAAAGTTTGGCATCTCATCTCCGTTGGCAGGTTATAAAATGTCACTTTTCATAAATTACTTTTTTCCCGTGGGAAAAAAGTGATTACTTTTTTCCTGGATATATATCACATATAATATACACTGTTGATGGCTTTTGTTGTGCTATAGTTCCTAAAAATGAGTCAATGATACCCTGTCCGAGAAAGAACTGCAAGTCCTTTTATCTTCCATTCGACTTCGCGGTTACGTATATCACTAAACAACCACTAAATTCGCAATTTTTTGAAGTCAAATCACAGAATTAGACTGTCAGAATTGACATCAGATATTTGATTACTTCAAAAGAATGATAACGATGCCTACAACGCAGGTGTCCCTGCTGTTAAAAACTTGAAGATTTCGAAATAATGTAATATCTTTTTTCAATATTGACTCGTCCTTTCTTCTGTCACAGAAAAAAATAGTGTATTATACACGGGAAAAATATTAGATTTTAGCTCACGGTTTTTTGTCTCCCTCCGCTACGCGTCGGGAGACAACACAACCTGGAGCTAAAATCTACTATTTTTTTCCCTTGTATAATAAATAACTATTTTGCCCGTAACTCGGAAATTATACGTTTTATCGAAAAGACCGTCCTATAGAAAGTTGAAGTTGTAAAGGTTCTGAGCAATCAGATGCGAATATCAAGGTCCAAACAGTTTATTTCCAAGATAAGTTCGAGTTCTAAAATTTACATATTTTCAACAAAAGTGATGTTTTTGAATTCTTTCGTCCGACATTTTGGAGCCTTCGTGTTGGATTCTCGAATTTTTACAAAAAAATCATATTCTCCGACCCCAAAAGTCCTATAGTAATCAATTTTGAATAAAATCGGACTATAATCACAAAACTCGTCCGCCATTTTGAAGCCGACATCTTGGATTTTTCATTTTCGACAGAAGGAATCATAATCTCTGATCCCGAAATCCTTCAGATGCCAATTTTGAATCAGATCAGACCATAATCAGAAAACCATATGCCACATTGGATTCACCATCTTGAATATTGAATGTTGATTCGAATCGGAACCTAATCAATGAGAAAATCGTCCGCCATATTGGATCCGCCATTCTGTTTTTCCCATTCAATAATAATATCACAACGAATTGTCACCAGAATAATAATTACTTGCCAGATTTCAAATCAATCGGACGATTTAAAGTGAGTCAAATTTAACGTTTTCATTACAAACAGACACAAGGACATGTTAAACTAAGTAAAAGCTTGTTATGTGATATATAGAACAAACAGAGTAACAGAAGAAGTGTGTATGGTATAATCATCGAAGTCAAGCAACAAAGAGCGCGGTTAGTACTTGAATGGGTGACCGCTTGTGTCTACCGTTTGATGAAGTCGTTTATTTCCCTTTTTTTTGCTTGTCTGCACTTGCTGCTAACTTCAGTGCACAGGTGAAAATCAACTGAAACTATGTGATTTTTCCGTAATTTGAAAGATCAATTTGAGGTCATGGACCAAAAACACCTAAAAAAGACGTCTTAAAGACGTACATATTAGTGGAAAATGTACGTTTTAAAGACGTCTTAAAGACGTCTCTTGGGCGTAATATGTACGTCTTTGAAACCTACTTATGTCCCGACATGTACGTCTTAAAGACGCCTTTAAGACGTACTTTGGCTGATTGGGTAGGGTAGTCAGCCTTTGGCGGACTGGTACATTACATGAACAAAGGTGCTCCGCGGTTTAGTGTCAGTCTCCTCTAGACCCATTTTTTTTTAATAATAGCTCAGAGGGTATGGTGCTTTAGCTCTTGTTTGCAGAGACTCACCAAACTTACAAATTGTTAAATAACTCTTTTCTTCTCGTTTACCTGGAGTTGCTCAACAGTGGTAGGATTTTTCACTTCATTCTCATTTTCCGAGCTCTGTGATAAGGTGGCATTTGCTTGTCTCACAGAAAGGTTAAATGTGAGCTCTGCACTTTTCTGCTAGGCGATCAGCTGCCTCCTTGACGCATTGTAACCCACATGAGCGAGAATTGATTCTGACACTTATTCATCACAAAAAAGGTACCAATTCTGATAGTTTGAATAGTTTTTCAGTTTTTTATCGAAATGTTCAAAGAATACCCTATAGCATTCAGAATTATTGTATCGCAATTAGTACAACTATAATTCCAGCGTACAGAATTTTAATTTTGTTTGTCCCCCACCCCACAGAATACAAAAACAAAACAATGACCTATTTATACGTTCTAGAGCTTTAATGAATATAGGTTCATATGATCCAAATCATATAAGTTGAAAGGATAAACATGAGTGTGGCAACTACGACTAAAAGACGTCTCCAAGTCCGAGCGCTCTAACAGCCGTTCATCTTTTTTCATAATGACGAAATTTACATGAGCTCGATAGGAAATTTGTTGCTTTGCCAATATGTGCATGATGCTCTGTCTCTGAATAATACGTAAAATATGAATTATCTGTGAAAACCGACAAGAAACGCTATTTTTTGAAAAGTACCCAAATTTGGTCAATTTTCAACTGGCTCTATCTCCGCACCCTTCCAAGCTGAAATACATGCCATCAACCTTTGCGCCCAAAGGTGCCTGAGCAAAGGTCTGAAGGGTGCCAACATATATATCTGCTCAGACAAGCCCTAAAATCATTCGTTTTCACATCAAAGATCACATGGGACTGCTTTGAAATACTCATCCAACTGGGAAAGGACAACAAAGTCACGGGTTCCAGGGCATGAAGGAATCAAAGGAAATGAGGCAGCTGATCGCCTTGCAAAAAAAGGTGCAGCATCTGCACTTTTTGGTCCTGAGCCTTTTTGTGGGATAAGCAAATGTCACCAAAGGGAGAACTCGGGAAATGGGAAGAAATTGAAAAGTCCTCCTACTGGAGAGCAACTCCAGGTCAACGACCAGCGAAAAGGTCCATCAACCATTCGCAGAATCGAGCCAGAGAGCTTCTCAGCCTCAGCAAACCAGAGCTAAAGCTGATCACAGGCTTTCTCACAGGACACGGCCCTCTGAGGTACCACCTCAAAAAGATGGGCCTGGCGGAGACTGACACTTGCCGCTTTTGTAACAATGCGACCGAAACCGCGGAACACTAAGGCGGCTGCACAATTGCCCGGGAACGAGAACGTGAACGAGAACGAGAACGGGAAAAAAATTAAGCTACACATATTTTAATGTACCCATGCACAACCGATTTCCGGGAACGAGAACGAGAAGATGCCCGGGAACGAGAACTAGAAAGTTGGCCAAGTTTCAACTTTCCCGTTCCCGTTGCATTCCCGGAACCAATCGCAGCACAGATATTGGATGCCATAAGAAGAAGAAGATAACCTAGTTTACAAACTATTCTAACCAGAACTAAAATTCTGTTCAGGTAGCATTCTGGTATATTTATAAAACATCTCATGGTCATTGCTCTTCATATAGGTAAATAAATTAACAAAGGCCCCTTTTTCTTTCCTCTCTCTAAATATAGGTCTAACCCACCATCTAAAAAATATAAAATCAATGATTAATATTATTGAATATTTGTTCATACATACCTTCTATCTGATTGTAAAGTAACTGACTTGTAATAACTGCATAGAATTAGAAGAAAATACATATATAACTCCAACATCTCATCACTAATAACATCCATTATGTTGAAAATTATTTCTAAAGTCAAGCTGACACGCTGACAGTGTTTTGAAATTTTAAAAAATAAATGGAAGAATGTCAAATATCCCTACTATTTCCGTTCTCGTTCTCGTTGTTTGTGCATCTGATAAAATATTTCAGTTCTGGTTTCCGTTCTCGTTCTCGTTCACGTTCTCGTTCCCGGGCAATTGTGCAGCCGCCTTATACTTTGCTCATGTGAAGTATTAGTCCGCCAAAGGCTGAACCACCTAGAACAGGTCTATATCTCACCCCTGCTGAGGTAGAAAAATTCAACCGCCAGGAAAATTGTAGGCTTCATCAGAAGTCTAGGGTTAGAGGACCAAAACAAGATCGGGGGAATCACAATAGATCTTCTAGGTCGCAGTGATCGAGAGGTCTCCCAGCCTATACGACCCATCTACAATCTACAATCTACAAAATCTACAATCTCCGCACCCTTCAGTCCTACATTCATGAGCAAGAACAATTTTATCTAGGAAATTTTAACTACTTCAATTTTTTATAGGGCGGTCTTTTGGATATAATGTATGATTTCCGAAGTACGGGCCAAAAAAACTAAGAAAGTCCGAAAATTTCGCTGTTTTTTGCTAATATCTCGGATCGCTCCAGGAAATTATGTTTCCAAAATTCAGATTCGAATTCAGCACCTCCAATAACATATTAAATCACAGAGAAACCGACTATTTGAATTTTTTCCCGGATTGGGTCCTGATCGTTACCGTTTTACTGAGCTACAAGAACACTCGAATATTTTGCATTCAAATTCGGTGGTGCCACGACCTACTACTACTACCATTTTCCATCTAGCTGCGATAATGACCCAACTCGTTTACCGTTTCCAGCAGCCGCAACCCTCTCCATAGCATCCCCACGACCTAAACATTCGGCAACAATGGAAGTAGTACTGGTATCTGTTAAATCGCACCACGAGCTGTCTTCGTGGACGCCATTTTTCGATGCAGCGTTGCCTTTCGTCGGTACGGCATGGTTATCGTCTCTTTCCACTGCCGTGACGTCACAACTGCCACTAATGTCTTGGGGAGCGTTAATAATGGCTTTCCGTTCGTTGTGCAAATAAAACTTTGGTTCTCTCGAGTTGAAATTGTTGTCGTTATAAGCTTGTTTCATTTCGTGTAATTGAGGAACGTAGAATTTATTAGTTTCGAATGGATAGGTTGTAGGTGGCTCTGACATGTCATTGTTGGTTTTGTACGGGCGTGGGAAATTGTTTGGTTTTTTCAATGGGCTGGAAAGCATCGGTTGCGGTATGTTATTGAATTCTCCTGTCATTTGTAAACTGAAGTTTGGGTATCGCAAGTGAACGTTGTTTGCCTGAAATGATATACATATAAACTGATCAACGAAATAATTGTCGTGGTCGAAAATATTGGCCGATTTCAAAATCGAATTACTCATGGATCCCATAACTAAGTTCAATTCGGCTTTCAGAGTTGTTCAGCTCAATCTTTCAGTTACTCGTCAGAGCAATATGAGACTATGAATATTCTAAATGAACAATCTACAGGATGATAATTGAAGTAGTGTAAAATAGTAGTGGTGTCGTTACGTTCCTGTTTCAGCAAATATTTTGTATTTTTTTTTTTTTCGACCATAACCATGATGCTTTGATTGATACAGTTGCAACTGTAAATTAGGCAGAGAAAACTTTTTTTTCAAAACACCTTCTAATTCACAATTGCAACTGGAAAAAAAAAGTTTCTTCTGCATAATTTACAGTGGCAACTGTAAATTAGATCAAGAGAACTTTTTTTCTACACATCCCCTAATTTTCAGTTGCTACTATAAATTAGAGTCTCACAGTCCCAGTTCTCACAATTTCTGAGCAGACTCCAGATATAGGCAGCTTTGATTCTTCGATAGCAAGCTGCCTATGCCTAGTAGTCTGGTGAGAAATTGTGAGAACTGAGACTCTAATTTACAGTTGCAACTGTAAATTATGAGATGTTCAAAAAAAGTTCTCTTGATCTAATTTACAGTTGCAACTGTAAATTATGCGATATTTAGAAAAAAAAGTTTCTTCTGCCTAATTTACAGTTGCAACTGTAAATTATGAGGTGTTTTGAAAAAAGTTTTCTCTGTCAAATTCACAGTTGCAACTGTAAATAAAGCGGAATTCAGAAAAAAAAGTTTCTTCTACTGAGCACTAATTTACAGTTGCAACTGAAAATTAGGCAAATGTTCGTGGAAAAAAAAAGAAGTTTTCTCAGGATGGCAATTCAGACGCGTCGTACATTGGGAATTGAAGAAAATAATAAAAACCGTGCAACAATTCTCAATTACGTGTCAGTGGCGTACCCAGAAGTGTACCTTGGGGGGGGGATATAATTTTTTTTTTCAAAACATATTTTCATTAAAGATTATTGGTAACTATAATAATTTTGAACATTACAAAATTATATCTAAGCGCCTTGGTTTGAGAGCAATTTCTTCAATAATTTCTTCAACAGATACGACTACCTCTCTATGAATTGATAGCATGGCAAGTCCATTTAAGCCTCAAATAGGTTTCGATGCGTTTCAAAGTAGATAATGTTCTTTCTGCTGTCGCGGTGGACTCTGGCAATGTACAGAATATTTTTAGAAGTTTATGCACATTTGGGTAGGCATCATATATAAGGGTGGCGGAGTCCAAAGTGTTTGGATTGTTTTTATTTTATCTGCAACTGCACCGTGTGAACAATTTCCAATATTTCCTGGATGGATTTGTTCCAGAGATTTGAAAAAATGTTTATTGGGAGAAATAGAAGCGGAATGTTCATTCAACTCCAACAGTAACGGCAAATCACTTCCATCAGTTCCAGTTGCTGATGTAGAAGACACCCTATCATCATCATCATCGTTGAATTTTCTTTTGAAAAATCTAGATGAATCACTTTGTTTCATCATTATCTAATTATACACTAAAGGTAGGTAAACATTGAACACTCAAACAACTACACCTCTCACTTGTTATCGAACGTACAACCCTAATAGCACGCAACATCCTAGGGACGTCCCTATTTTGTAAAATTCACGTCCGAATGTCCCGAACCAAAAATAAGTGTCCTTAATTGGGACGTCCCATCCCGTACATCTCATGCAATGTCCGAGCATGGACGTTCACGGAATGTCCCAGCTGGTACATCATTTCAAATGTCCTAGAAATAGCATCCCTTAGACGTCCACGTGGTACATATTGTAGAATGTCCATGCCAAGAACGTCCTTGGCATGTTCCTGATGGGATATGATTTTAATCGTTCCTTTAGGGACATCCATTGGATGTCCCGAGTAGTAAATCTTCTGGCATGACTTCAGATCTTATATAATGTCCCTTCTAGACAACCATGAAATGTCCCTGATGGCACATTCCTTCAAATAACTCTGCACAGACGCCCTTCGAATGTCCCTTAGGGATATCCGTCGGATGTCCCAATTGGTACATGAACTGTACTCTTCCAATGTCCTAGAAATAACGTCCTATGGACGTCCCAGTCGGTACTTTCAATATGTTGTCCCTGCAAGGACGTTAACTTACACCTCGCCGACGAATGATTACTCCTCGTCAATGTCCTTCACGTAAGTCAATTGGACATCCTTGGAAAACTCTTTGGGGACCTTCAGAAAAATTCAAATTCAAGAATAATTCGTACGTCCCTGGGACATCCCATGGACATACAATTGATATCCCTCAGCGTTGCTGATAGGTTGTCCTATAGATGTCCTAAGGATGTCTGTCCTCTGTAGTGCTTGATGAGGAATACTGTAGGATTTAGGGACATCCCTCAAGGACGTCCCTAGTTGGTCCTCAAGTGAGACATTTGTGCGTACCACAGACGTCCAATGGACGTCCACGGTACCAAATTTGAACGTCCTATGGACGTCCTGAATGTCCCGACAGGACGTCCTAAGGATGCCCATGGGACATAAGTGTGTTATTAGGGAACTCATGACCTAGAATGAACGAACTGACTGAATAATATCGGGGAATCACCGCCCAAGACCGAAAATCCCAGCGGAAGATCATTCGACATAGACTGAAAAAACATGCTTGCACTATTCGCAGAGATGTTGACGTATTTCTGTGGCATATTCATAATTGACCAATTTAGCTACACAGATCAGTATCTAATTATTTGAATAATGAAACTGAAAGATTAAGAATATTGCTGATCATTTATGGCCAAGTGGAATGTAATGATCCCACCTGAGTTCAACCCATCTTATACTCACACTTTATAATAAGTTTATAACTGATGTTTTTCTATCGGCATATGGGCCATGCATGGGGGGGATATATCCCCCTTATCCCCCCGTAGGTACGCCACTGTTACGCGTCAGCGCATGACGTGTAACGCGACAAGCAAAATAGCTGCATTGGGAACCCACCTTTACCTTAGAGTCATCGATGACGTAACTGTCGACTTCTGGAAATGTTTTCAAGTGGCCGATGGGCGGCCTTTGGTCGAAGGGCGGGAAAACGCTGTTCTCCTTTATCTGCCTTGCCAGCTCCAACAAATACCTGTTTCTCTCAGTCTTATCCGAGTTGGTGGAGCTCAATTTCTCCAGCCAGGAGCGGTACAGCGACAGATGCGAATTCGAATCCACGTACGGTATGAACTGCATAATAACACACCTATTGTTCAACGGGTAGTACCTATGTTTGTGTTTTTATATTTATTTTCAATATATATTTCTTTCCTTCACATTTCCAACATTTTTCAAACAAATTGTCACTGACAAGCTGCTGGATTTTATTTAGGCTCCCTGATAGAAAAATTTGTTAAACGCAGTGACATATTTTGGGGCAAATCATCTCATTTGTTTCACTACGAATATATTGAAATTATACGCATATTTTTATTTTATAGAAACGAGGAGAAAATCCCAAAAAATTTAGTGAAATGAATGAACCACCTCCTCGATTAACCTACCCAATCAGCACAAGTATGTCTTATGGACGTTTTAAAAACGTCCACTCTGGACATTCAGGGCGTTTTGGGGACGTCCATTTCCGGACGACGGACGTCTTATGGACGTTTTGAGGACGTCCATTGTTAATAATCAGGATGTTTTGGGGACGTCCAGTTTAAGTCGAGACTAGGACCTTTTTGGTATGAAAAATGGACGTATTGAGGACATTCAGACAATATTGATTATTGATTTTCTGACCCATCTGGAGAGTGAAATACTTGAATATTAGTTAACATTTATTCGCAAACGATAACATGAACAGAGATTCAGGTAGTTGTTTCAATTTCACTCTTCCATATCGTATATCAGCAGCTGCACCACTAAAAACTTCGCGTGATTCATCCAGGTACGCAGGCGCGATGATGTCTTTTTCTGATTGGCAGCCTTCTGTTGTCTTCTTCACTGGATCTGTAAATACTAATGATATTCAATAACATCTTCTGTGAATACCATAAACCATAAACACACACCCACTTTCAACGTGTAGTAGTCAGTATTGCGGAATACAGATTTGATGTTCTTACTCAAGCATCTTCATGCGAATGAAAATAAAACGATAGCGTCGATAGCCATACTTGCCTTCAAATAAACATCTCGATGGAACTCGAGATCGAAGTTCACCAGTTGATAGATGATATCCGCAAAGATTTCACTTATTCACTGCTTTCACAGTCTAATAACCCGAAAAGTTCAGAATGTCCTTGGACCTGAATCACAGTTTGATTGGCACTCGGCAGTGGTCAACTGACGGACGCCATCTTCCTACGTTTTCATTTCATACGTAACACGCACAGTGTTGCCGGATGAAAATTTGTCGGAGATGGGTGGGGAAAAAACAGTAGATCATCAAAACTGAACAGAAGATTTTGATAATCATCACAATTGCTATCATAAATAAAAAAACGTTCGGTCTCTATACCTATCAAAAATCGAACGAAGAATAACAAAAAATGATGAAATAAAAAATAAAATTTGTAAAAACCTCAACCAGATTGGAAATAAAAGCTAATTTTTACTAATCAGACTGAATATGATAGTTGCAGTATATTTTTATCATACATCTTCTTACTGTGATGTCCCATCAATTTTTCATTGTTGCATATTGGGTAGTTACGTCATATCAAAACATGACCAATCAGACCATTGCCTTGAATAGTTGAATAGTAGAACGGAGACAAAAACAGTAGATCTACTGCTAAAATAGTAAGTCTGGCAACGCTGAGCACGCATGCGTTCTGCGGTTGCTTTACATATTCAGTGATTCAATCAAATCTTATTATAAAAGCGCGGCTTGTATGAATACTTCAGTGTGGGTTTAAGAATGGTCAAACTGTATAGGTATTATGTGATTGAAGGAATATGATTCTTCAACATAACTATATAAGTAGGTACAAATCAGTTAAAATCATAAATATTTCAAATTCATAATATTAATAATAAAATGAAATTCAATATTTTGATACAGCTGATATATAATATATTTTTTGACATTATTTATGTCCATATTCAATTCAATAATTCGAATTTCAAAATTAATATACACCTACCTACTTATATCAATTTAAACTGATATACCGTGAGTCTGTAAATTGGACGTTTTAAAGACGTCTTTTTCTGTACGTTCGGAGTATGTCCAATAATGGACGTCTTGAAAACGTCCATAAAAGGTCCTGGACGTTTAGACCAAAAATGGACCTAAAATGGACGTCTTCGGGACGTCCCGTGCTATCTGGGTACAGACAGTATTTGATTATAATTGGTGACCGACAACCTTGCTTCATGCGTGGAAATGGAAGATTATCTGACCAATAACGAAACTGCATAAAAACTGACGTTACCATTTATTCGACGTATCGCCAAATGGCGGCCATGAATGTTCGTTTGAAACGAACTCTGAGATTCAACAATATCGAACAAAGCATAGACTCATTATATTTACACAAAAAAGCGTGAGAAGTGTTGCAGAAATTAGTTTAGGTTCCTAACGACACAGTGAAGTAAATGAATGCCAATGATACATTATCAGTCCACTCACTCATTGGAAGGATTCTGCCGCCTGGTGTGTGATGAGAACTCGACCTTCCTGCCGATTGATCGACGGATGTCCCGTTAGCTAAATGGGCGTGTACACCTTTAGTAGAACTTTTAACTCAAACCATGTTTATAAACCTTTTATACATATAATATAATGATTGACGACATAATTCGATCGAAAAATTAACTGGAATGTTTTATTTTTGGACATAAATAATAATACCTTCTGAAAAGGGACCCTCTTATGACGTAGAAACCTCATCTCGCCATAGTTAAAAGAATATACCAAACGCCCGACGGAGACTCTGAGGCAACTCTGATATATTAATTCTTTCAACTGTGATCTCGCGCTAATTCACTCTGTCAGAAATCATGTATCATTCATCTCTATCTGGAATAGTCTTGTTTCTGTATTAGGGTTTTGACGTCATCATCGCCTTGTTTTCAGAGGTCCAAAAAATCGGGGATTTCAATAATTTTTTATAAAGCGTAGGGAGCTCACAGCAAGAAACGGTTTGCGGTGGTGAGCTAGTTTGGGTGCGAGTTCTATCGAATTATAAGATACATTTTTTTTGTGACATAATAAGCCTATTGGCAGAGCGTTGGGCATGTAACCCAGAGGTTGTGAGTTCGACTCGCACGCGGGGCGGTGGATTTTTTTCATTTTCCGTTGTCACTCGAAATTAGGGCTTTCCATCGTCTTCATTATTAAAAGTTCCTATATAAGGCACTTTCGACTTGGAATTGTTCAAGGAATATGCCCTTAACCTATAGGCATCGAGTCATGGGACACCCTCTATGTACAGGGTGTTTCTCATAAGTACGTGTAGAAAATTCAGGAGCATGTTGCTGACGTCAAAATAAGAAGAAAATGTCGTATAATTATATGTCCGAAAGTTATTCGTTTCTGAGATACAGAGTGTCAAACTTGAATTCTTATTTTTGTTTTTTGTTAATGAATTTCAAAATAATTGTGATATTGGAATAAAATTTGGTATCTAGGCGTATTTTTCAATGACAATCTCAAATTTTATCTTAGTTTTTCTCTTTCGTGGAGGTGGCGCCACCTACATGTCTTTTGAGTCTTTTGAAAAGTCATACATTTTTTGTGCGAACTTGTTTCACGTTTCATAGAAGGAAAATAGATTTCTAGAACACTTTTGTGTAAAATATATTCCTGGTAGAGGTCGCTGCGAGCAACTGTTTTCAAGTTATTGGGATTCGAAATAGTCGATGCATTTGAATTATTTGCATGTGGCTCGTAAGTCGCCTCTAGTGAATATCAGAAAAGATACGCAAGTGCATTTTTCTTCTTTCATTAAATATTATTCTGCATTCAAAAAATATTATTCTTATATATACTTCTTTGTATCTACATTTTTGGACTCTTCCAATTCAAAAAAGTAACAATCAAGTGAGTACTTGTGATCCAAGCTTTTTCAACTAACTGTTTTAGTATCAATTCGGTCTTAATTACTGTTATTATCAATATTAGTACTTATTGAATGGTAATAAAATCCGATTAATATTCTTCAAATACATGAAAAAAAAATAATTTCTCTTCTTAATAAATCAATTTCGAATTCCAACTTCTTGTCATTTCAAATTACTTGCATTGATTATTTCAAATCCCAATAACTCGAAAAAAGTGCTCTAGAAATCTATTTTCCTACTATAAAACGTTATACAGGTACACACAAAAAAGTTATGACTTTTCAAAAGACTCAAAAGACATGTAGGTGGGCCGCCCCCACGAAAGAGGCAAACTAGCATAAAATTTGATATTGTCATTGAAAAATACCCCTAGATACCAAATTTTATTCCAACATCACAACTATTTTGGAATTTATTAACAAAAAACTAATTCAACTGTGACACTCGATCTCAGAAAAGAATAACTTTCGGACATATGTTTATACGAACTTAAGAAATACCCTGTATATGTCCGAAACATGTACCAATAAGTAATTATGATCTGTTGATCATATTAAAATGTCGTGGAGATGACTTCGAGTATTAATTATAGTACTATTATAGTAGTCAGTACTTTGAGAAACCATCGACTTCTACCAAAGAAAAATACGTACCTATACGTACCTAAGTTCCTAAGTACGTAACCAGACAAATTTTCGAAAAAAAAACCATCTCATGATTAGTGCAAAAATTACCTGAAACCTACTCATAAATAATTGCAAAATGGTCTGAAAAATTACCTGTTTGATAACCGACAGAATTTGCCGAAACTCCAAATCCAGCTGATGAGAATCCCCCGGATATTTCTGTTGCTGAAACTGGTTATGCATCTCAACGGTCTCTACTCGATCTGTATAGTAAGAATTGTCAGAAAATGCCTTGGACTTCTAGAAGATTCTTCGAAGGCATTATGGGACTTTTTTTCCCCAACTGCTTTTTGGTTCGACGCCTAAAGGAGATTGATTTTAAGGTATTGAAAGAAGTTGTCACCTGTAATTTGATCGATCAATGTCCGAATGTTATTCTGTCACCTTGTCTGTGCATGTCATTCGACCATGTGGAATCATTTTTCGGTGATGTACAGTGTGAGCTAAACTTGATGTCACGGGCTCTATTATGAGGAAAGGAGAAACGATATAAAAAAACTGAAAAGGAGCTATTGAGTTACTAGTCAAACGGGAAATCAGACTTTACACAAGTTATGCTGGGGGCAAAAATATTTGAAAGAGGAAGAAAATACATTTTCAAATTTTAGAATCTCAACGGTCTCTATACTCGCTCTGTATAGTCAGAATTGTCAGAAAATTCCTTGGACTTCTAGAGGATTATTCGAAGGCATTATGGGACTTTCTTTTCCCCAATTGCTTTTGAGATTATAAGGTATTCGCGAGATTCACGAAGTGGGCGACATCTATAGGTTACATAATACGAACTTCAAACTGGGGGAAAACAAACTAGCTGTTGTCTATGAATAAAGTGCATAGACTACATTGCATACATCTTGCTGTAGCTGTAGTTGCCAAACTTATCACTGACATAAAGTGTTATCACTCTTATCAGTATCCAGTACACAAGCTTATGGCACTAATGGGATTGAGTCATGATTGAGTTTGTTTTCCCCCAGTTTTGACGTGGCTTATTTGACATGGAACGATGAAAACCGAGCGCCAGTGATTCCCGCGAATTGAAAGAAGTTGTCCTTGTCTGTGCATGTCATTTGACCATGTGGAATCATTTTTCGGTGATGTACAGGGTGAGCTAAATTATGAGGAAAGGAGAATAAGCGACATGAAAAAAAAACTGAAAAGGAGCTATTGAGTTATACTAGTCAAACGGGAAATCAGACTTTACACAAGTCATGCTGGGGGCAAAAATGTTTGAAAGAGGAAGAAAATACAATCAAATTTTGGAAATACAAATTCGGACAGTCTAGTATTCCATTTATCTCAACGGTCTCTACTCGCTCTGTATAGTCAGAATTGTCAGAAAATACCTTGGACTTCTAGAGGATTCTTCGAAGGCATTATATGGTACTTTCTTTTCCCCAACTGCTTTTTGGTTCGACGCCTAATGAAGATTGGTTATAAGGTATTGAAAGAAGTTCAGTGGCGTGTTTAAGGGGGGGGGGGCAGAGGGGCACGCCCCCTCCTCCCCCAAAGCAGGCTACACTCGAATAATAAAAAAACACGAAAATGTCGGTTCATCCAGTCTTATTTAATATTTATAGAAATCTACCATTTAATTATTAATATATGAAGCTACTTTACACCTCAACAGCTTCTCATGATCTAGAGTCCGACCACGATAACTTTGGGACAGCACGTGGTCGCGTATGCATTGAATATGCATATGCGTTGCGTCACATGCTGACCCAAAGTTAACGGGGTCGGACTCTACAACGCGCAGATACGGCCTGTTCTTGAATACTGTTCCCACATATGGGGTTCAGCACCAGCATGCTCTTAGATTCCATCCAGAGAAGAGCCATTCGCCTGGTGGGTGACGCCACACTCACTCATTCTTTGACATTATTGGAACACCGTAGAAAGGTCGGCGACCTTTCACTTTTTTATCGATACTTCCACGGGAAATGTTCTTCGGAAATCTCTGCTATCATCCCTTCACTAGCAACACATATCCTTTCGTTGTCAACCTCGAAAGATGTCGAACAGCACTTTATCAAAACTCCTTCATCCATAGAACGGCTAGGCTCTGGAATTCATGGCCTGAGGAAGTATTCCCAACAACATTTAATCTCCAGAAGTTCAAAAAAAATTCCAATACCTACCTCCTATCCCTATATCCTCCCTAGGAACGCACGATATGTTCTTTGAACATTATAGGGTTTCCATTCGTGCGCTCCATGCGATAAAAAAAAATCGTTGGGTAAGGATTCTGAGATTTGTTGGAGCGAGAGATATACCAAAAATGCACTCTATGACCAAGTGGGGTCATCTTCAGTGATATACACTGCTCGCCAACTGCCATGGAACCACTCCAAATTCCGGAAAATGATATTAGGAGTCAAAATAGGTGGAAAATCACTTCATATTCGGAAACAGAACGCTCAATTCACTGACTGTTCATATTTGTCCTGGAAAATTTTAAGTTCTGAAAAATCAAATTTTGTCGCACTTTTCACGGAAGCACCCCCGTATCTTACGTAATTGACTTTATCTTTGAACTTTCCCTTTCTCCTGCAAATTTCAGAACCCTACCTACCTCAATAATACGTGAGATACGGGGGTTCTTACGTGAGATGTGATTCAAAATCAAATTTTTCTGATCTGAACATTTTCTAGGAAAACTATGAATAGTTAGTGAATTGGGCGTTCTGATTCCGAATCCAATATGATTTTCAACCGATTTTGACTTCTAATATCATATTTTCCGGAAATTGGGGTCGTGGTTCCATGGCTGTTGGTGAGCAGTGTATATCACTGAAGATGACCACACTTGGTCATAGAGTGCATTTTTGGTATCGCTCTCGCTCCCAGCAAATTTCAGGATCCTCACCCACCGATTACGTAAGATACAGGGGTGTTTCCATTAGAAGTGGGTCACACGGTATGAATATGATATGAATCGATAAATACCGGGTGGTCCATTCAAGTCTATCCACCCCCGATATCTCCCGGAATTATTATTTCACAAGAAAATGACGAAACAAAACTAACGGATTTTGGATGACCCCCAAGAAAAAAATCATTTGGTGCCATGTCCGGCAAGCGTGCTGGCCATTTTAATGGTCCTTCACGACCTGTCTATTTGTTTGGGAAATTTTGGAGTAGCCATTCTCTCACGAAAGCTGATACGGAATGGGGTGACACATCATTTTGTTGGGAATAAATATTATCTGCCAATAGATTTCGATTACCATCATTATATAGAGGTCCGTAGAGGACCAATAGAATGGACAGCACGTCTGCCGGACTTGGCACCCGATGAATTTTTTCAATGGGGTCATTTTCAATCGGTCATTCATAAAACGGAACCTACTGACCTCGATGATTAGGAGAGAAGAATGAGAACTGAATGCCAGGCAATATATCAAGAGAAACATTCTCGAACGTACAAGAGGAATTCTCAAATAGACTCTACTACTGTCTAGGAGTCAATGAAGGCCATTTTCAACACCTTTTGTGAATACCTGTTCAATAATCAATTATTTACATTCATTTACTCACAATTGAAAAACATACCATATTCGAACTCGTATATCTCGAGAACGACTCGTTGAAATTCGCAATGATATGATGTATAAACAGGACCCTGCTCGAACTTCAGATATTATATAAGTACTAAAATTGAATGAAATAATTTCGGAATGCCTAGTTGTTTCGTTTCTGGTTATGGAAATTCCAACTATAACATATTTTTCTGATGTTTTTCCAAGAATGGAGACCTAATGAAACGATGGGAGCTTGCAGCCGACAGAATATAAACTCAAATAATGGTACCTACCTTATATTCCTTATATCCTCATTCAAAAGTATTCACCTATCATATTATCATCACATTCATATTACAGCACGTATTTCTTCAAAACATTCCCATGCAAAATGTTCCCAAACAACTGCGAAAGTACGGTTCTTGACTTACAAGTCCAAAAAATCACAAATATTTGAAACAAGATGTCATTCCTACAGAACATCTTCCGTCGAATATCAAGTCAGAAATAATTGAAAATGAATTCAAAACTATTATTTTCTCACAAAATATAAATTGCAGCAAAGATTTGAATAACAAAACGGCAAAAATTGATACTCCTGTTGTCGATGTCGGAGCAGAAGCAACGTCAACGTCGTTAACTGCTGAATTTTAATCTGTCAGAATCGACACAGTAGTGGATCATTCAGATGGGATTGGCAATTCATGATAATGAGCATGTACACCTTAGTAGAACTTTTAACTCAAACCAAGTTTATAATGATCCTTTTATACATAAATTAATAATGATTGACGACATAATTCGATCGGAAAATTAACTGGAATATTTTATTTTTGGGCATAAATAATAGTACCTTCTGAAAACGGACCCTCTTATGTCGTAGAAACCTCATCTCGCCATAGTTAAAAGAAAATACCAAACTCCCGACGGAGACTGAGGCAACTGATATATTAATTCTTTCAACTGTGATCTCGCGCTAATTCACTCTATCAGAAATCATGTATCATTCATCTCTGTCTGGAATAGTCTTGTTTCAGTATTAGGGTTTTGACGTCATATCATCGCCTCGTTTTCAGAGGTCCGAAAAATCGGGGATTTCAATAATTTTTTATAAAACGTAGGGAGCTCACAGCAAGAAACGGTTAGCGGTGGTGAGCTAGTTTGGGTGAGTTCTATCGAATTATGAAATGAAATTTTTTTGTGATATAAGTCCATTCGTATGTATTCGCTCTTTGCGATTGCGAATTACCTCAAGATCACAATTTCCAGAATCAATGAAATAGTAAAATCGAAGGAATAGGTACCTGTTTATATAAATTGAATTATTTCTAAACAGATCGAGGTACTCATAGAAATTTCAATAAACATGATTGAATTCATTGCGCATGACCATGGCAAAGGTATCTGTCTGTGACTAGCAGCTGATATTGGTATCCCAGATGACGTCACATAATATGCGCGTAGGCACACCATCTTCTCCTTCCACTATGTATTTACGTAAGTTAGATAAAAATAAAATACTCGCTTTCACAACTTCGCTGCAGCATATATTTATTCATACAATTTTGCAATGACATGAAATAAAAGAGAAAATACAACAAATAATTGCACCTAGAGAAGCAAAAGCAATCTAAAACACCATAAACCTACCTAAGATATTGAAATACCTTAATGAATTTGTTTTCAACATAATTATCACATTGATCGTTTCATTTTGATGATATCACAATAGCAAAAACATGTTTAAACTGTCAGTTTTCATCCTAAACTATCACACGTTACGGATTGTCAAACTCTTTTGTCATCAAAAATATAAAATGTTTACAGGTCAAAAATCTTCTAGCTTGGAATTTGTTTTTCAAACGACACCCTGTATTCTTTCAACAGTGAAATAATTCAATTATTCTCTTCTTGTGGGGGTCATAACTCTTTCTCTGGAACATTATCTTCTATGGTATTGGGCAGATAACTAAAGTAGGAATTGGTGAAATGTTAATAAGCGGCATAAATTAGTTAAGTACAAAAATCTACTATTAAACAAAAAACACGTGGTGAATTTAATATCTTGCATTATCTGTAATGTAAACATGAATGTTTCCAATACAGATATGAGGTAAATTCTGAAAGACAATACACTTGAGGAATATAAAAAGTGAGAAGTTCAGCTAGCTCAGAGTGAGGAAGAATATGTCTTCTTTTGTTATTTTCTTCATGATTTCAATTTAAAATAATGAAAACTTCATGTTGGTGAAACAAAAAAAGAGAAAACATTGACAAGAAGACTGTTTTCTCCAATTTTATATTGAGGTTAGGTTAGGTCTTCTTCTAATTTTGTTACAAGAATATAATATATATACTTTGTATTGACTCGACCGTTACTTGATGGAAAATCAGCAGATGTGAAAAATTTCACAAAAGATAAGATTTCCACAAAATTCTTAAGAACACGACAATGTAGATATGGTGTATACAGTGTGTCCATTTAGTGCGTAATTCTTCGATATCCCGAAAGCCTTGACCTATAGAGAAAAACTTTGAAGGAAAAACTTTTTCAGTTACTGAATTTGCTTATTTCAAAAATATTTTCAACCTTACTGGTTGTTTTATAGAAGCGGGACAACTCGGAGACGAGTTTTTTCAATTGGAACACCCAGTATTGTTAATTCGGAATTTATTCCGCCGAGGTTTACCTTCACATCGCTGTAAAAAAAATTGGAATCGGTTGCAGCGTTGCCAAGTTATAATTGATGAATCTATTTTTACCACTATCGAAGAGTACTGTTGAATTGGGCATGGTATATTCATTTATTCAAATTTTGAAAATATTTTTGGCATACGGAGGAAGCAAGGTCTCACGTATACCAATCCAGTAATTTTGTGACATGTTCTTTAACAGGGTACTCAATTTTGCATTTAGAATTTTGCAAGATTCAGATGACATTCATAAGAAATTTTCAAATGGAACACCCTGTATTTTTATCCACAAATTCATTCCGACATATCTCGCCTTTTTATCGCTGAAAAAAAAAATCAAAATCGGTTGCGGCGTTGTCAAGTTATGGATAATTTCCTTATTTTTACTACTATTTCGGAGCAATTTGTACGTCATATATGACGTACAAATTGCTTGCCAGCTAAAAGAATTCCAATTAGAAAAAAAAGATTTGATGACACTTCAGATGAAAACAGTGATGATGAGCCCTCATTGAAGGGCGTTCCAAAATTAATAACAAAAAATGCAGGTGTGTGAAAGTCTCAATACCAAGAGTAACCTTAGTTGACTAGATTGTTTATGTTTTCATCCATGTTCTTTTTCGTTTTTCAGTCTCAGCAAAGGCTAAACCAGTTCCTACCTCTGATAAAGGTGAGTGTTTGAACAAACATTTCAAATTTTGATTGTTACCAAAAATGTCAAACTAAATATTATTATTCTACTGCCAATAATATTTTTAATTGTAATTTCAATGTTTTAGCTCCAGAAGAAACATGCACCTTCTCTCAACTACCTGAAGAAGATGACAATGGTAATTTATATAGTGATGTTCCTTAAACTCTATCTTCACAATTTCAGAATTGACTGTTTATTGTTTTCATTGTGAATAACCTATATCATGAAATTTTACATATTATTGTTAATCTTCCCTCATTAATTATTCCAATGATTCCAGGGGAATACATTCATTCTGCATAAATTGTGAAAATTAATATTTCAAGATATTCAATAATTTTTTTATTTCAGGTAAATCAGTTTTCCAGAGATTTGTTACCAGGAATCTTGTTTACAATTGGAATCTGATAGAAGCTATCGATAAAAAAATTGATAAATTCTATGAAGAATTCAAAGCATTAGATATAGGAAGAAAACCCAGAAATCCACAAACCAATGATGGAATATTCTCAGAGCTCCCAGCTAAATCACTAGATGAGTTCAAAGAAATTTGTGCAAAGTTGGAAGATGTTGAAACATTTAATGACCTGGTAAGATTCAAGTTGACATTTTTAATTTATAATACATTGATGATACCTGACATTTTTCTCCCAGAAGGAAATGAAAAGGGTGGATGAGCAGAAAAAATGAATGTTTTGAAAATTAAATTCAATTTCACATTTGTTTTCAGGTTAGACTTCCAAATAAAATTATACATTATATTTTTGGATGTTTTTGCCCAGTAGTAGCTATCTTGTTAGAGTATTAATCTTTTTGTAGGCAAGAAGTTTAGCAAGATTGGGAGGAAAGAATCATAAAGAATGTATCAGGAGATTCCTTTCAAAAACAATTGTAGATGAAGTAGCCATAAACTTGTTTATTTCTCAATGTATTATTTATACAGGATTTCAAAATTTTCAATTCTCCTATCTCAGATAAAAGATGATAAAGAATGTACAGTGCAACTGGAATCACTGGTGCCATACTGGTTCTATTTATATTTGTGGGAAGAGTGAATATTTATTTGAACCTATTTTGATACATTTGACTTTTTTTTCAGAGGCTGTGAAATCATGTACAAACGTAACTATAAAAGAGATTGAGTTGCAAATAGCACTTTGGCTGACCAAATCATCTGAAAGGATAAAAAAGAAGATTGTTGTGGATTGAAATTTTTTGTTTGTAATGTTTCAAGTTTCAACCAATATTGCTGTTTATTTTTGACCCTCAGAAAGAGTTTTTTATTTTGATGTTAGTATATTACTAATATAACTATCATTCCTGATGTTATATTATTATTTATCTACTTATGTAAATATGTTCATTTATACAGGGTGTCCCAAAATTACATAGCAATATTTCAACTAGTTTCTATGAAAAAAAAATAGTTTAAAAGTTCAAATAAACATGTGTCCATAAATGGCCCTTTAGGAAACTATAGTCATTTGAAGGGGGCCCTGAGAGGAAGGTTTTTTTTGGGAATATTTTCGGGACCCTTTGTGATAAAATAACCAAATTTTGTACATGTACGAATGTTTTAAAATTTTGTTCATGTAAAAAATTTGGTCATTTTATCACAAAGGGTTTCGAGAATATTCACAAAAAATCTTCCTCTCGGGTCCCCTTCAGATGGCTTATAAAGGGCAAATTTTTGGACACTTGTTTATATGAATTTTTTCAAACTATTTTTGTTCCTAGAATCTACATTAGAAATAATTCTATGTAATTTCGAGACATCCTGTATGTTCCATCAAAAAGATTTTTTTTGTTTGTAATATGTATTATATCACTCATACATATATCTTTGTATTATCGTTTCATTCATATTTTGACCATTTGAATGTTTTTTCAGTTTTATTTTTTTTCCAATAAAATTTTCAGAATACATTTTGGTTTTGGTTTTGAGTTCGTCTATTACCCTCTCTAGGTTAACCAACATATGACATGAAGAGAATATGCTAAAAATATTTTGTATAGGCAAAAAGATAAATCATGTGTTATGTTGAGAATGTTTAATCAGTATAATCTCAAATTATCCAATGAACATTTTCAAGATAACTCAATAATATTTTTATCATATTTGCATGAACCATTTATACTATATTTATTCATATTTATTCCAGAAATAGTCTAGGGATATATTTTGAGAATATTCTTAGACCCTTTAAAAGTGTCCCGTTTCTATAATCTGAGAATATTCTTGGATGATTATATTTTTATGTGGATATTCATAGAATAATTGAATATTCTCGAAAAATATTCTAAGAATCACTCATGAATATTATTTTGCTATCTGGGTAGTTTTTTCATTTATTTGTATTGTGGAAATATTGAGTTGCTACGGTATAATCAGATTTCTCCATTGACCATTCATATATTTTTTTAGGAATAGGAACATTTACAGGCTCTCTAAGTTTGAATTCAAAACAGAGTGGGTTTTGACAAATTTATCCAAAATGATACTTTCACAGATGTTTTACAGACTATGAATTAATTTTTCGAAATACACTTATATTTCTGTAATGACCTGTCAAACATCGACACAATCAAATATATCTTGAATTTATTCAAAATGTTGCTGAATTTTCTCCCGAAACCCGCGTAGTAAAGATATATTGTTTGTATGTTTACCTCCTAACGACAATAAAATTGGCCCAAATTTTAAAAAAATGTCCTTATTCTCGCAATCCAAATCTCCATTGTTTGTATTGTAGAAGTTGTTTTTCCTACTTACATAACTAAAATGGCATTTATCGTACGGATATGTACCACGCTAAATGATCGATTAATTACGAATTGTCGATCTGTGATTTATTCAAAATATTAAACACGTTACCATGGCAACACGATTTCTTAAACACATTACCATGGCAACGCAGTTCATTAAACACAGCTTCAGTAATTTGAGACATGTCTGGCCTGTCAATTGTATTAACTGTCAACTGTTATTTTCGAATTTTGTATCAGAATTATTCAAACAATATTCGTTTGTATCAGAATTCTTCATTAAAAATATATGCGAAAAGTAGACGAAAGTGAAATCGAAGAGATAAACAATGGACTGGACACATCCACAACCAATATCACCTATACTTGTCTCGCTGGTTGCATTCAGTTGCATGTATTATGTTCTCAATTCCCATTCCTTTCGAATTATTTTGTAGGTTAGCAGGAATTGCAGGTATGTTAATGTAATTTTCGGAGTTCGTAGAAAAATCATAGTATGTAACGCGTTTATAAACTGTTCTAGACACTCGTTTATTAAACACTCGCTCCGCTCGTGCTTAAACTACTCGTTACTAAAAGGACGTTTATAATACATAATATACTATTTAAAGACAGGCGTTGCTTTTGGCATGTTTGTTTGTTTCACATAGGTACAGGATGGGCCAAATTCGATGGGATTTGGGGTTTTCTCTGAAACTATCAGTGCTAAACAAAAACCGACCACGGTGTCCTGAGCTTGATTTTCGTGAAAAAAACAATGGCGCAAACCGCGATTGTCTATCATTTTTGGCTGCCGAACTACAGAGCGTTTTTGA